ATATATAATATTAAGTAAAAAAAGGATTTTTAATAAGTATACTTAACTTATTATAATTTTAAAGCTATTAAGGTAAACTTAAAAGTAATAGCTAAGTATAAAAAACTAGAAGCTAAGGCAGAATAACTTTATAAATTATATTCTTAATAACTTATACTTTTCTTAATTATAAAACTTAAACTATAAACTTAGTAACTCTCTACTCTTTCTTTTATTCTAGTTTAAATATTCCAAAATAGTATGTAGCTATAGCAGCGTCTAGCACCGGCTTACACTGGCACTAATAATGTCAACTAATCTCATTCAAGCTCACGTGAGGCCACCTTGACGCCACCAGGAAGGCAATTTCGGTGTGATGTGGCAACACGGAGCGGCTCTTTGGATTGCCCGCCCCGATGGCAGCTTCCTGAGGCCCGTATTCCTTCCCTAAAGTCTTGTCGGCCGTCGAGAATTTTATTCCGGGCTTGACACGGCTTCTTCTTGCCTTGTATATAATGGCCAAAACCTACATTCCCCTCCCCAACTTCTCCACGGCCCCTCCGCCGCAAGGGCCGCTTGACCTGGGCCACATTGTCAAGACCTTGAGCCCCGGCGACTTCCCGGCCCCGCTCAACAGGAAATCCCGCGTGACCATCGACGCCGACGACCTCCAGCCCCTGGATACCAAGCACGGCTATCGCACGACGCGCAAGGAGCTGCTGAGCGGTAACTTTGGCGTATGGGCGCAGCTGGCGAGCGTCTTTGGGGTTGGCATCGAGGGCGGCGTGACGTACGAACGCAGCGCAGATGATGTGGTGACGGTGGACAGACTGGAAACATCAACGGTCGGTATTCACCCTCGCTCGCTGCAGCATTTTCATGTTATTAACAGCTTTGAACTATTTTAATGGCATCGAATAGTTCATCCCCACCCAGGCCTACATCAAGCAGGCCCTCTCCTCTCCGCCCGTGCAGCTGTACCTCTCTGTCACGAAGCGAGCAAAGCCCGTGTACCTGATCACGGGGCTCAAAGTCGCATGCGGTGTGTCGCTGGAGAGTCAGCGGTCCGTGACCAAGGGTGCCAGGCTCAAGCTCGGGTTCGCTCCCCAGGGCGTTCCGGCTGACGGCGGGCCTGACGTGGGAGTTGAGCGCATGCGCGAGGAAGGCTTTTCGTTTACGGGCTCGAGTGATTTTGTCATGGCAGCGCGCGTGGAAAAGATTACTGTCGACAACAAGGGTGGTGGAGAGGCCAAGACCAAGTTGTACCTCAAAGGGGCGTCCATGGAGGATGCGGATGAGACCAGGGAAGAAGGGGGCCTGGAGCTTGGCGTGGGAGACGTGAGTGAAGATGAGTTGGCGGGGCTGGCTGCGGAATTTCAAGCTACGAAATTTGTTCGTTGGGATAATGCCAATCTAGGTGAAGACATGTGGATGATTCCCGCGGGTTTGGATGGCTGATCAAGGGAGTTGGTCGCTCTGTAAGGTGCAGGTTGGACGTCTACAACTTCCACGTATCGGATTCAAAGGTGTTGCTATAGTTTGCAACTACAGGATTCATCTAATACTCTCACGGAGTCAAGTCGACCTTGAGTCGCTGCCATATGTAGTCGTCCGTGACTCCCGTCTTCCAAAAGTGCCACGGCGCAACGTACCGATAATGCTGCATCTGCACCGACAGGAACTTGGTAAACGCCTTCTTCATGCCTTGACTCTGACGCAGCTCGCGATACCGCTGGTCCGTCAGCTTGCCCGCGGCGACCGAGTATGCCGCGTAGTCGAGAACATTAGCCGCAATGGCCGCGGCGACAGGCGTAGCAAACGACGTCCCGGACTTGTATACACACCGTTCGTCCCAGATGCACCCGATGGCCATTCCAAGCGTGCTGAAGTAGTCTGCGTGGTCGCCCTTGGGTGGGTTGATGCCGCCGTCGTAGCCGTTTCCGTCCGCAGCGTGAGTGCAGATGACGCTGGGGTCGCTCGCCGGATACGCCCGCGGACCGTTGCCACCGCAATTTGAGGCGGCGGCGAACATGATTTTGCGAGCAGTGGCAGCACGGTGGATGGCGTTCTGGACATTGAAGAGGCTTGCCTCGGGAACCAAGGAGGGGTTCATGCCGAAAGACATGCTAATAATGTCGCAGCCGTGTTCGAGTGCCCAGTTTACAGCCTAGTCAAGGTCGTTAGCCTGTGAGAAAGTGATGCCGTCTCCGAGTTGGATACTCCGACTGAGACGCGGCGGCATCCGACATCTGAAGCAATGTCTCCGGAGCCAATTGTCAACTTGGGAGCATACCTCGGCGATCTGGTCCACCTTGTCCACATGCAGGTAGTTGGAAATTTTGGCGATATACAAGTCCGCTTCGGGAGCCAGCCTGAGAAGAATCTCGGCAATGTGAGTTCCGTGGCTACAGACATCGTTGGTGTCGTCCGGAGGGCCAATAAATGACCGTGTGGCTTTGACAGGATCTCCGTTGACGGATGGCTCTGCTGTTTCTCGGTCAGTTATGATGGCTTCTCTCCTCAGCTGCAATCCACACTGGGCCGTGTCTATCCCCGTGTCCAAAACAGCAATTTTGACACGGCATCTGCCATGTGCTGGTTGCATGTGCCGGCGAAACTTCTCAAAAAGGTCAAAGAACGTGCTGGCGAGTCGAACGCTTCTGCACATCCGGTTAGCCGACGGTTCATCATCAGCGGAAAGTGTGAACAGCTCACTTATCAGTCTCGGAAATCAGCTCTGTCCTTTCATCAAACAAGCTAATAGCCATTTCCGTTGATCTCGGGTGGTCATTCTTGGGCTTCTTCGATGCGCTCAGGGCATGGCCAGCCACAGAAACAGTGTTCGAAACAAGGGTGGCATGTTTGTTGAGTGCATTCTGACGGCCCGATTCTGATTGAGAGCGTATGAAATGAGGCTGCGCCGATGACATTCGGAGCGAGGCCGAGTTCCCAGGGAACTGCTGCAATGTTGATGTACGATGTTGTACCTTTGCTCTGGATAGTCCTGTGTGGTTGCTGGCAGGATGCGGAAAACCCGCGCGAATGGACTGCTGCGGGCCATTAATTAAATCAAAGGATACATCAGGATGAGCTGCGCGAAGTCGATTTACCAAAGGCTGGACTATGTATCGAAGCAGCGCTGCTCTCGGTCTCAGATGATCGCTAAACGCACGGTGCTTGATCCCCTCTACTCTGTTCTCAAAGTCGAGACAGGAGTTAATAACTTCCCTTATATACGGGTCATCCAGGTCATCCTTCCGGCTGTGGAAAATTCTTAACAGGGCCATGTAGACGGGTGGGTATTCCTCGTCTGCGTCGTTTTCATCTTCGGCTGTGATGGCAATCTGGTGGCCAAGCTCTAGTTCCAGGAGCATCAAGCCGAACGAAAAGACGTGAATATAGGAATGTTGGCCGTTAGCCGGAAAGTCACCTGAGCTCATGGAGTCGAATGAGAATTGGATGTACGGATTGGTAATGTCAACGACCTCGTTGGTGGTAGGATCATACATGAAGAAGATACTACCAGTATTCCAACCACTTTGTAGCCAGCGGCTACCAAACAGCGTTAGCAGTGATTTTGCAAGTGTCACAGACAAAGCCTTCAGCCTCATCTTAGATAGGGCTGGCGGCATAAGCATGCATTCCTGATCACTGCTTCTCTGCTTCAGGAGGTCATGAAGCGTGATCGTAGGGTTCGACTTCAAGATTGTGGCGCCATCCGTATACTTGTACGACGCCGTTGAGGCATAGCATTTTATATGCAGCTGCTTGTGTCTAGAGCTATTTATTGTTCCGCAGAGTTCTGCAAGAGGAAATCCTTCAGGTTTATTGGGATCACGGTCAACCGGCCTGCAATTCGGATTAGATTGTAATTTGTACTCAGCCGATAGAAGTGGACTTGCTTATCGTCGAGAGAGATTTCACAGATTGCCTCTCTCCATTTATTTTCGTTTACGCATGATGAAAAAAGTACATCTCTGGAAGGGATGTTGTTAAGCTGAATCATCACCAAATGATGCGACCTGCACGCGCGGGACGTCTCACACAGCCTATTGCGGAGAACCGTCGCCTTTTGGCTGCAAGTTTCAGCTTCTGTCACAACCTGGATTTCATGTTTCTCCCATTTATTTGCCGGTTCGGAAGAATCTTCTTCATACGTTGCAACGGAGAGGTAGCTGATGGTGCTGTTGAAGCTCTCTAAGCCCGTTGTAATCTCACGTAACCCTTCAGATGTCATTCCGGTCCAGACCAGCTTTGAGAGATGAGGGCAATGATCCAGAAGTGATTCCTCATCATCCGCACTCCGTCGTTCTAGTTCTGATTTTAATGCCCAAAGCTTGCGAAAAGGCTACACAAGTCAGTCCATACATGTTTCTATTCCAGGAGGGCTTCGGCGGCCAGGCTAGAGACTCAACTTACCTGGTTGACAGACTTAGAGCCCTGGTCAAAAAATAGAGCCCGTTCGCTTACATACTTTTCCAGAGAGGTCAGAAGTGACTCTAGCACCGTCCAACCAGTCTGGGGAAGATGTTGCATGAGACCACTGTCCACAGCCTCTCGCAGCGTATTGGGCAGGATCCAAACTTCAAAGTCGAATATAGTTTCAAGATTTGATAGAGTCTCTTGGTCTATCTGACCCAGAATATGACCGACGCGATGAGCGAATAGTGGCTGAAGAGATCTGAGAAGGTGCCATTCTTCAACGGCTGCTCCGGCTAGCCATTCTCCAGCCATAAGGCATGAAAGTTGGTCTTTTGCGGTTTTTGTCTAGGGGACAGAAGCACTGGAAACTTGGGTATATGAAGGTGATTCTGACTTGCATAAATCTGATGCTGAAGTCGGGCCGCGGGGGTAGACGCTCAGCTCAGGTCATTCGCGGAGACTTGTGCATGGGCTTCCCAGTCTTTCACCATGTTCAACGGTACTTGTCTGCGGTCGCCACCATTTGCTACTGAGGCGTTTGTTGCAATGTGTCAATATATCTGTTCACACTGTCGTATTAGGCTTACCCCCAACCGCCCTAGAAGTACATCTGCCGAATCACCATGTACCAGACCATTTATCCTCACGTGACTACTCGCCTACTCCAACGAAAACGCCCGCGTGACTTTGCCTGAGGCGCCGAATAACATCCTGCAGTCTCACTCGGAGTCGAATACAGGGGTGCAGGTCACTCAATAGCTATTCTCGGCTCCCTGATGCGATCGGATGATCAATTTCGCTGTTCCCGCCCAGATATTTGAGTCCTGGACCTCTGGTTTTCAACAACATTCTAGCCAAGCGATCCTATATCTCGTATGGTCCCATGGATTCAATTGCGGAAGGATCGGAGCTGTTCGAAGTCGCCTATCACTGCTTAGATCTCTTTGAAAAGTGTCTAGTGGAATCGGGGCGACAGCAAGCTCTAATAGTACAAGAAGTGCAAGCCCGATTCAATCTTTGGGCGGCTTACACAGGAGTGTTCGCTGACAACGACAAGTCATTGGATACCCGATTGTTTTTGCACCCCGACGTCAAACGCATGACTCTTAATCTTCTACGTATGGTTGAGCGAAACTTACAGCTTGGTTCGTATTTGTGACGGGATGGCGTATCAATGAAAGAAGACTAACTGTGTCTCTCTAGCTTCTACGGCCAATATCAATCAACACTCACAACTGCCTGTTCTGACAGATATAGCTGACCTCGATGAGAATTCAAACCTCTCGAAACTTCTAGAGTCTCACGGTGCCTCCTTTCGGGGACTGGTTGCTGTTCCAGTTGCGCTTGACCGATTACATAAGTTAGCAACCGCCATCCGACGATCGTCTCTTGAAAGCAGAAAGGAAAACCTCCTTACCAAAATCTGGGACTCTGATAGTGAAAAATATTTGGGCGAATGTATCTGTAAATTCATTCGGGAGAAGTTCCCAGCTGCTCGAGCTAGTCTGATCAAGCAGTTGGCCGCAGCTGTTTGTGCCTCGCGAAGAAGACTACTTTATTTGCCGAGACACAACAAAAAGCTAGGAATAGAAAGGAAAGGCAAACAGACGGGAGTTGTAAAAGGCTCACTGCTACCCCATGAACTCCTCCGAAAACGTTATTATGGAGATGCATTCACGGAGCCAATCTCTGCTACTGACGCTTCAATACCGAACACGATACAACTGCGGCGAGAACTCGGACGTGTTAAAAGGCCCGCTATCTCAGTCGCCAGTGCTGGAATTATCCAGGGAGAATCCCTCCTATATCCTGACATACCGGCATTTGCAGCTGACAAGAAACTTCACCCATGTCCATACTGCTCTGAACCGCTTCTTACCTCTAGACTGGACCTGAAAGTTAAAGCAAACAGGGACTACTGGAGGTTAGTGGCTCGCCCTGCTTGGTGCTAGGACTCGGCTAATTGTGAACAGGAATCATGTGAACCAAGACCTTGAGCCCTATTTCTGTTTGTCCGAAGAGTGCAAGGAACCACTGAAATTCTTCATCCACTACAGGGACTGGCTTGATCACATGAGTACCTTCCATACAGACGAATGGTATCGTTCAGCACATGCACTCACCTGGTATTGTGATTTGGGTCATAAAGAGCGAGAACTTTTTGTCGATAGAGACTCGTTCGAGTCCCACAGCCAGGATCATCACCCTAATTTGACCGCATCGCAACGTCGGGCCCGTACAAAGAAGAGCAAGACTCTGGCCTTGCGTGAGCCATTGGCGTGTCCATTGTGCGAGAGCGTCCCTGCAAAGATTAGTAGCCTTGCAATACAGCATCAAAACTCGGCGGAATGCAAAGATGCTCTTTGCAAGCATATAGCTTTCCATCTCAAGGCTCTTTCCTTGTTATCTTTCAGACTACTTAATGAGCAAAGTATTGACCACATAGATGATACTGAGGCTGAAGAGCATCATACAACACAAATCATGACGCGGAGTATGCAGAATATGCCGCTCGAGACTGCGGAAAAAATTTCATGGCCATCACTTGACAGTTCCTGGATATCTGAAAATGCCAATCCCGGGCTAGCTGAACATGGCTTGGAGACTGTGGATGCTAACACTGGAGGTGTTGATTGGGGCCGCTTTCCTGGCTTTGATCATTTATCTAAGTACTCCGGGGTTAGGAATCTTGAGAGCCATGCAGGACCTACTCCTATGTCGGAAGCGGAAGGCACACAGGAGCAAAACAATCAGGCATTCAACAACATGCTGGCCAACATGTCTCGGGAACAATGGCATGAAATTCAAGCCCTTCCTCCAGACGAGCGTCATGAGGTCCTTGGAAAGTGGCAGAACCGCCAGCCACAGCAGTTCCCTAATGATATGTCGAAACTCGGTCAGTCAGACGGGGCAAAGGTTATAGACCTTGCAGCCAAGATGATGGAAATGACATCTGATCAACAAAAGGCTGCCACGAGAATGAGTTTACAGCGGAGACTGTCCCCTCAACAGCTTGCGGAGATTCAAGCTCGAGGACGTGACCCCTTAGTCTTGTTCTTCCAGAATCAGGCATTCCAAGTATTAAAGAGAAATATGCTCAGACTGCAGGGACAAAACCAGACACCCCGACAGGGCCAAGAGCAGCCAGAGCAGGGTAGTGTCAACCTTCAACGATTAAGGGTGGACCGGGCGGCTCAACTGTCTCAGGATCTGCAGCAGAATCAACAAGACGTCATGGCCCGCGGTATGCCTCTTTCACAAAGCCCGACGATGAATACTTTAAATACGCCAGAATCAAATCTGCCGAGTGGCATGAATCATATAGGTGGTCAAGCTCTAGGCCAAGGTGCTGTTCTGTTCGGTGTCAAGAGCTTCAACCAAGGCACACAGCAACCAAATAACCAGGTATCTAGTAATATTCCAGCCAATATGTCTCCAGAACAATAGTAGGTAAGGCTATTATTAAGTTACTTCTCGAAAAAGGAGCCGACATTGAGGCAAAAGACTCCCAGTATTGTCGGACGCCGCTATCACGGGCTGTGGAGAATGGAGACTAAGCTATTGTAAAGTGTCTTCTCGACGAAGGTGCCGAAATCGAGTCAGTAGATATTAATGGCCAGACTCCGTTGTCGTTAGCTGCTGAAAACGGGCACGCGGCTGTTGTCAAGGATCTTCTCGCGAAGGGGGCCCGGGTCGGCGGATAAGGACGGCAAGACAGCCTGCGTGGTGTAAATGACGGCGGTTTCAATCGGCTGCTGGCTTCCGCTTTGCCCAACAACAGTACTTGCCGATGAAATGATGAGCAAAAGATCGGGCAGATAGACGTGTTCTTGAACATACCTGTCCGAAGACAATACATCTTCAGAAACGGGCTGTATTCGCTCGGACTGTTGTCTATGGCTATTCCCTATTGCTTGCATCATGCAAAACAAATGGCGGGCTGTCAGGTCAAACGAGAGACTAACATACAAGCGAAACAAGGCCGGCAGTGACCACATGACTGAGCTTCCTTGCCTGGAGACCGCATGGAATAGACGCCAGATAGTTAGTCGATTCTCCTGAAAGGGAGAGGTGTTCACCGTCGCTTTAACCTGTACAGTCTGGCTGCTGGAGCACGACCTGATGTACCAGTCATCAGCCCTCACGTACATGCAGAGCGCGCGTGCTAGAGTGGCTTTTCGTAAACTAGACTGTTTGAAGCCCTTCCGAGCTTGATAAATAGCCAGCATGCCAAAGGCGAGACCTGTTGACGGCACAAGGAGCGATCCTAACATGAACCATGCGGTTGCAATGGGTGAGCTTGCGGGCGGCGTTTTGACAGTTGTTGCGTGAGCAACATAGTTTCCTAGTATGAAAACCGCGATGTCGTTCCATCTCGTTGGAAAGCAAAGCAGATGAGGGTTGCCATGGTTTGTTGTCCCCTCGGGAAGTGTGAAGTTGAGATTCTAGTCCTTCTATTAGCAGGTGAACTACACAAAGATATCAGGGGCTTCAAGTGGAGAATGTGTTTGAAAACTGAGTACAAACCTCCAGTTTCATGATTCTGGCTAGGGGAGTTCAGCACAGGATTCCCGTAACTCGTTGGGTTGTGTCGTAAGAGGCTGTATACGACTCGCACAGCGCCGTGGCAGGACATGTTCGGAGTAGACGCCGTGTATTTTTATAATTTTTCTCGCAGAAGATCAGGACAGTCCCGACCGGAGCCTCATCACGGACACAACACATTTAATTGAGGGGTAAACGGCGGTACACGACATATGTCGTCTGCGTGTCCATCATACTTGGCCTACTTACCGTCACCCAAGACCGACGAGTCAAAACGCAGCTGTTAATCACGGTAGCAAATATGTAAAGCACCTCGGAGCCGGTTGTAACCTCGGTGTAGACGGCAGAAGCGCCGACTTGCTGGACGTATTTGGCTCGACAGGGAGGGCGACTGGGTTTTGTGCCATATTTAGAAACGCCCAGGGAATTGCTCGGCGTTATTCATCCCAAAGCACTTATCTCTCATGCATTACAGCCATGTCGTGGCCTGTTGGGCTTCAACTCCCGGTATGGTCTTGGAGTGAGAGTCTGGCATTTGCCAATACCAAGCCAAATTGCTTGTGGTAACACCACATTAGCGGATGTTGACCAAACCCCCTCCCGCAAGCATGATATTGGCACAGCTTCCTGTTGTCTTCAACACCTCTTCGACATGATCGGTTTTGGAACGCTGAATGTCGGTGACGTGGTGCAGTGTAGTTGGAACACGGTAGCTGCTCTTGTTCGCTTATATGGCCGCGATTTGCCTCCACACAGGGGCCGCTTCACCAGACCTAGTATTGATGGATTGCGATGGTGCTTGGGTCATCTCGGTCGTCTCCGTCTCTTGCAGACTCGAGGCTGCAATCATAATTGAAGCCGTGGCAAGTGACAATATGTCGTGCGACGGGTTCCGCTTGTCAAAGCCCAAACAGAGCCACCCACGAATTTTGGTCCAGGCCAGCCATACCTGTCTCTGTCAATAGCGTGTAGCCTCGTTGTCTCGCTGGACTTTAGCCATCTTCAGACCCATCACGAGCCGACCCAGAAGAGGAATATGCGGCAAACTGGAAGTGATCGGGCAAAATTCGTTTCTTTAAGCCAATGTCGCTGCTATTATTAGCAGATGGAATAGATATGAGGCTCTGGAGTCTGGACGATGGACAACTCATCCAGAATTGGTCGTGTCGTCCCTATCAAGGGCATGCAGGCAATCTGCAGATTTCACGGCCTTGTGATGCAGCAGGGAGAGGTGAGGGCAGCACGAGGAGTTTGTAGATATTACGCTCTGAGGATGTGTGAAGCATGAAGGGAAATTGACCTTGACTGCTCTGTGCCGGAGGTTTTGTTGGAACAGGCGAGTTAGTCATGTGAGGATAGTATTGGTGTCAGAGAAGACGCAGTTACCCGTTGGGCCGTTGGCAACTAAGTCGTCTTTTCTCTTCCACAACCTAATAAGGCCTTTAGGTTTTACAATATTTAGTAATTAATTAATATAATAACTAGTAATATATATAGCTAATTTAATTAGCTTTTAAGGCCTAAAAGTACTTTTTATTATACGATAAAGCCAAGTATTACGGTATTATCCACCTAACTCGGCGACAATTAACGCCGCTTTAAGCGGCACCAACTTAAATACTTTTAAGAAGCATGTGCAACAAGTACGTGGCGTTAAGCTCCGCCAGCCTCGCAAAAGTAGTTCTGAGAATTGACTGCACCCCCCGGAAAGGCACGCCAGGTACCTGGTTAGGTATGGTGTCGAGTCTACGCCCGAAACTGTGTCATTTTATTAGTGCTCTCAGCCTATAAAGACACTGTGCCGCTTCATCGTACCATGGAGCACGCAATACGGGTGGTAAACAGATATAAGAATAGGGACGGTCGGCCCTTTTTTATTGACACAGTGAATGCTATTCAATAGATTTAAGTTTGAAGAAACCGACAAGCAATTGCCCACCTATGTATACCCCACCCATGACCAAGCAAATCATACAAAGCTAACTGGCAGTAGCTGACTTGCATGCATTCTTGGAATTTGGTTGCACTTGACAACTTTGCTAGTCATGCGCATATTGTCACGTCAATGGGCCAGCCAAACCGGCGCTAGTCGCCGTTTCAGACCAGGTCATGTGATGTTTTAGGCCGCTGTCGCAGGGTTATACGTGATGGCAAATTGCACCGACTCGACAGTCTGCCAGTGCGACTGATTGTTGGCATCGCCAAAGATGGCCAAGGCCCTGGCCACAAGTTTATAACTACCTGGAGGGGCGTATTCTCCTCGAGCAAGAGACCCATCCCAGACGGCTTCCAGCCGACCACGCCGTACAAAGTCTTTTGGATATCCAAGGACCTGGCCAAGGGACTTGACACCGCCTATGTCAGTAACCATCGACTCCGGCACACAGAGTCGATCGGCCGGGGCAGAAGCGGACGATACGGTTGTGTTGCCCGGATGAGGCGGCGGATCTTGCCGCGTGCAAATTTCGAGCGGCACAACGTGTATTTGCACTTGAGGTGATCCAAAAACCAGGTAGAAGACGGCGACAGGCCTCCCTGTCCACAAATCGTTGGCGTACTTACCAAGAAGCTGTGCGCTGACCTTGGCGAATTGCTGGCTAGAGTTGGCTGGGGGCGGTGTCAGGAGGAAAGCCTGCCTCTCTGACATATCATATGCCGTTTGAGACGAGTCCACTTGCATGTCCAACCGCTTCTTGTTGGCATCGAAAATGGTGGCAGATTGCAGCGAACCTCCTAGGCCCTGGTAGGGAATTGTGAGCCGGGAGCCATCGGAGCCGTTGATCGCGATCCATCCAGACCATACAGGCAGGCGACTCGTATCGAGATTTTGGGGCTCTGAGGCTGAGACTTGGATAGTGGCCGACTGGCCTGGGCGAAGCCTTAGCGAGTTCTCGCTCAGCGTGACGGCGGCACCAGCGCTGATGGATTCCTGTGACTCCCCGGCCCAGATTGCGTCCTTGGTAAGCGTATATACAGAAAGAGCAGGGAGGTTGGACAGTTCGTATGTAACCTCGGACTCGGCCTTGTTCGTGATGGCCAGATCAATGGATGACGGGCGGTGGTCCGTGTCGTTGAATATGAGGGCGCTGGGATGGACGAGTGTCGTTGCACGGCAAGCCTCCCATGCCTGGACTAGACCGCCACCCTGTCTGGCGACGGAATAGTACTCGGAACCCTCGTTCTCGTAGGGGTTGATTTGAGGCGCGGCGTATGTCGTTAGGAGACTGGCGATGAGGATCGGGTCAAAAGTGCGGCGAGCTTCAGCAATGAGGGCCACGATGCCGCCGATGAAGGGCGCGGCAAACGAGGTGCCAGAGTCGACCGTGTAGCCTCTTCCAAGGTTGACAAGTCGCACTCGGCGTCCCGGTGCGCCGACATTGGGCTTAATATCGAGATCCCACGTCGGTCCAGAGGCGGAATTACTGCCGAGAATAGCCCCTGTGGTGCTGTCATCAGCCTGGCCGAACGAAGTAACGGCTATAACGCCCCGACCCGTGGAAGGGATCGAGGTACTGAAGAGGCCCAGGTCTTGGAGGTTGCCCACGCCAATTATGCAGGGGACCCCGTTGCTGACAATACGCGAGGCGATGATGGCGGAGGGACTGGAAGCCCAGTTAATGGTCTGAATGACAGCCGAGCTAACAATAATCTGTACTCCGTCGTCAAACGCCCGGATCAGACCGGCCATGAAATCATCCTCCTGTCCTTTGTTATTGCAGTCGAGTACTCGGTAGGCGCCCAGCGTTGCATTTGGTGCCACGCCAACGAAGCCGCCAGCCTCGTCGTATCCAGCAAGAACACCGGCCACCGCGGTGCCGTGGCCCGTACAGTCCATCGGATCGCCCCCGTCCTTGTCTTGTGCCAGGTTGTCCCCAAAAGCAACCTTGCAGCCTTTGCCGAAGCAGCCACCAAGGGCCGGGTGTTTGTAGTCGACCTACCGTCTCAGTAGTTAGCAACGGACGTCAGCCATGTATATGGTGCGGGAGGGAATACCGACACCTGAGTCAACAAGTCCAATCGTGATATTGCTTCCTATAAAGCCCTGTTTATGCAACAAGTCTACCTGTGTCATGATGTGCGGCCACTGGAACTCGGGGATGTTGCTGCCACACATCGACTCGACGGTCGTCTTGTTACATGTAGGCTGCCTCGCCGCGGTCAATGGCGGCTTTGTAGGAAGGGGGCCCCAAGTCTCCTCCTGCAGGTCCTGCCCGCGTCGAGCGAAGCTCCATGTGTCTATGAAAGAGTCTTGAACCCGCCATATCTTCTTTACGCCCTCAATCTGTTCCATGTCTCTTCCGACTAGCTTGACCGACAAGCCTCTGAATATTTTCGACTCGAATTTTCGGCGCACTTGGTTGCCATTCTTCTCCACGGCCTGGATGACCGGCTCAAGAGCTTGACCGTCCTCGCATTCAAGGATTAAGAAATGGCGAAATCCTTTTTTTACAGAGGTTCCGTTTTGAGCATGAACATGCACGAATGGCGCCGCTGCTAGGCATAACACAGCCACGAGCGATGAGCGAAGCATAGCGAATTTGGCCCAAGACTGCAGATGGCTAGATAGAGAGCTAAAAGCGAGACCAATATTGGCCAATTCATTCATTTCTGACTTGCCACAACGGGCTTGCAACTGGTCTATATATATTTACGCACCTCAATCGCCCAGGTACAGGCTCTTTCAAGGCCTGCTGCTTCCTATCCCCCCACACAGGCGCTGAGGTATCTTTAAAATTAAGGATTGAACACCAAATTTTGGTTTATGCCTCGTAATCGAGCCGAATACGTTGCAATTTCAGTGTTATCTACTGTATGCATGGCTAAATTATCAAACTGACTCAGTAATTAAGTCAGGACCCCCTTCTTGTTCATTTTATGCATATACAATCTGGGAAGCCCTTGATTTATTTTGGAAATAATGTGGTGGGACCAATAAGCACTTTGCATATTTAGTCATTACTCGCCTACTTAATGCTCCTGCGGGAGCCCCTACTGAAGCCATGTAAGCGCACTACGTGTTGAATTTATGCGCTTCACAGACGCGTCACTCAGCCGGGTTATCTTGACCCTATTTTCCAACGGTCAATAAGCGTCAATCGTCCTGAACGTTAAAATCCTCCGGAGACGTGCATGTTGGAATGCCATGCGGAGATGAGGAGAAAGACATTTTGGCTGTGCGTTTTGCATGATAAAATACGTGCATCTACACGGCAACCTTGCTCTAGTTATTGGATTTTCCTTCCACGTAGTGGAAATGCCGCCAGAACTTCTGAGCACATTGCAGCGTTTAATTCCCCATAGCTTGGCCGTCGCAGGGACTTGGCGAATTCTACTACTTAGCTGTGGCGTTTATGCGAGTTAGTGGGAATAATAATGCTGGCATGAATTGAATAGGTAATACTCACACTCAATGTATCCCACAAGGACCAGAAAGCCAGGTTCTATTGCGACTTGTATGTCCAACCCCGCATCTTACCTTGTAAAGGGCCGGTATGCATAAACCTCAGTGGGCGAATCAAGATGAAACAAACGGCATAGCCGGAGTTGCTTTATCAGAGTCCGCTATTGTGTGAGTAATGACTCGCAGAGCATTGACGGAGAAACTACATTACAGTAGTTTTTGTAGTATAATTTATAGTCTAGTATTTTACACTTAGTTGCCAACGGGTAGTAGTAACAAAGGCAAGTGAGGAAGGCTGCCTCGGTCTGTGAGTTTTGCCGAATTTGTGCCAGGAGTCCCCGCAGTTTACTATTTCTCGCAGCTCGCATCTATATACTAATAACTATAGTCCTTCTTTTATAGGGCATACGTGATAGTATATATTGTATCTCTGCTCTACTTGGAAAGGTGTATTCTATTCTACAAAGTCAAAATGTTACGTCCCGGAATTAAGCAACTAGGCCGTGTGTGGAAGATGTTGACTTGTCGTAGACTCGAAGCTAGTAGGCTGGACCTAACCAGTCAACCCTGCTGGTTTGCGGGGCCCCATCTGGTGCATCTTCCTCTAGCGTTAATGCCTGGCGGCATTTCAAATGTCTGGTGGACAAGTTGATCTCTTGGCAACCCCAACGGAACGGTTCCGCCTGACTCGACTGCCGGCTACCCAATCACAAGTAGCGCTTCCCTGGCTGCCAAGGTCCTTTGGGAACATTGAAGACTGCACATGTGGTGGCCGCCAGCAGCTGGCGTCAGTAGCTGCCTGGCGCCATTCGAACCACCACCAACACATCTTCTACTTGCTAGGATTCAACGTCCGATCCGATGAATAGCACCAAGGCAACTGACTGTGTTGTTGCACTCTTGCAAGAGGCAAACTTGATGGTGTACTGGGAGGCATGGAGCTTGGCACGCAATGATTGCACGAGAATTGGCACCGGGGGGAAATGGTGGCCTCAATTACCAGCGTGCCCGTTGCCCCAACATTCCAGAAGTCCACCAGACATGATGAAATGTTCCTGTCTATAAAGCAGATCTCACCCCTCGCGCTGTCCTTGGTCAACAGTATCCATCTCACCTTCCATAATCTCTACTATTCTTGCATTACTATAGAAAACACCACCAATCACTTGATTCCTGGACAGCAATGCACTCCAGAGACGTGGAACTGCAGCGTGTTCCATGCGTGCTGGAGCCCGCCTCCAGCTTCGCATGGACGGTGCCGCGCCTCGTCAGCGTGTTGTGTTGACATGGTCTACGGACTTGTCGCAAGGGGCAATTTATAACTAGTACATATTACGTACTAGTAATTTTGATTATAAATTAATAAATAGCGCGTATAATACTATATAAAGTTGAGTACTCCTTTTAAAAAAAAAGGATAGCACATGTGAGAAGAGCTGCCCTCCACAGAGCATGCATGACTCGAATGACAGCCCTTTCTGGTAGCTCGGGAGTCCATCACGAGTGATGGAAAGACTGGTCTGCTGCGGCCCATCTTATGCTGCATCAATTGATAGCTCTGATTCAGTGTGCATTTCCAATCGGGTTTGCAACAGAATCCGAGATTGATTCGCGCAGAGATGACCTGGAACCAGACACCCCAGTGATCCGCCGGCGAAGCCAGGTCCGCCAGACAGCCTCAGAAGCAGCATGTGACATGAATGTAGCAATTCAGGCGCGCAACATGCTTACACGATGTTTTGTAGGGGCCGCATCCAACCGGGTCTGTGGCCATAACCTTTGTGAGGCATTTTTTATTAATAGCATAACCTGACTGCAGGGATTCTATCGTCTGGTCAAGCTGCAACTGTGCCCTTTTGAGAAGGGGCGCCCCCCCTTTATTAGTGTAATCTCACGAGGCCAGTCCCGGAACGTTCAGTATTGCTGCCCGTGCCTCGCCACCTGTGCCACAGTGGCAGTGCCACACCCAGAGAGCCGGGGCGGCCGGGAGATGGCCATTGATGGTCGCTCCAGATGTCCATGTACAGCCAAGTTGAGGCTCGTGTAGAGACTAATGTGGTATAGCAGCACCGAGGGCGTGCGGGACTTAAGCCTTGTGGGGTCGGGGCCAACCTGCGGCGTCATACTTGGCGAGGAGGCACGGGCTCTTCTAGGACTGTAGGACAACAGACCTTCGCATTGAATAAGATCGACAGCACCAGAGGTCAACCGACTAAATTGTCACAGGCTGTTGGAAAACCACGATGGTTGATGACGCAGCACAGAGCACCAGAATACAGCTCGGGGCCTTGTGGTGCTTGATGGCACCCATCACCTCGACCCTCTTCGTCCAAGCCAGCCCGCTTGAATCCCACGAGTCCACGACCTACTCCAAGATGCATAAGTCTCTGGACGTCGATAAGCGAATGAGTCTGTCTGCGACAGCGTGCAAGTCGAGGCGAGTAGCTACTCTACGCTACACATAGACGTCAAGACTCGGACGCGATGTGAGAGGTGTACGTCATCGGTCACTAGTAGCAGCCTTGGGACCAAATTTTTTTTCAACTCCATGCCTTTCTTTTCTCCTTTTTTCCCATTTCGCCCCTTTGACCACGTGAGCACGGTTCCTGTGGCAGCCAGCCACAGGGCTTCTATCGGGTGGTGCGATTCGTCCTTCTACGTGTGCGGTGGCTTACAGATTGAAGTTGCATCATGACTGAAACGGCCAGTGGGTAGCTGGGAGAAGTTCTGTGTCATGAAGACTGCCCGTCCAGCTTGTTTGTACAAGAAAAGTTGTTTGCCGGTTTGCGGACGAGCGTCTGGGCTAGGTATGAGGCGTCGTGAGCTCGGCTTGGTACTTGTAGGCGGTTCCTCATGGCCTTGAGGACACAACCGTCCACGGGCTCATTCCGAAGGCGTCGTGCCGGCTTGCGGCAAGTAAACCCCCATGATCAAGTGCCATGCCGGCAACTACATGCTGGCTGATCCTAGTGTATCAGCCTCAAAGTTTCTTGGTACTTTTCGTAGAGCGAATTGCTCGAGCCAAATGTATAAATTGGGATTGGGTTCCGGATAACAAGCCGCAGCGGCAGTTACAACTTCCACGCAGCTCTTGTTCCAGTAACACCACTCCGGCACTCTCCTTCTCACAACACGGTACACGAACCAAGAAACTCTCCATACTTGACGTTCCGTTGTCATCTTGCTCAAATGACGAATCACCACGTGCGAAATGCATCGTCTGCTTCCTCCTCCTTTGCGAATAGCAGGGGCTCGGCCGAGGAGCCAGACGATACTCTCAAGCAACTACCCCTCCGTCCTGCCAGTGCTCATATCCGAGGGGGCCTTGGCAATTATGGACGGGGGAATAATTCGGGTGGTGGAAATGAACAAGTAGTCGACAACGAAAACATGGACAACGATGACAGCATGGGCAACGACGACGGCGATGTCAGCAACAGCAGTGGCTTTGTGGCCCTTAGGCTGGAATCGGATGCCGATGCACAAGCGCGGGTCCGGCTCCCGAATCGCAACTGGCGCATGACAAGAAAACAGATCGTCGGCACCAATGTTGGCGTACTCTTGGCCGTCGTGGCGCTTATTGGCGTCGGCGTGTACAAGGGCAATACCGGAACCACTGCTGGTATTGTGAACTAGAATCTGGGGCAATCCAACCAGACCGAACCTGTCAATTGTAAGCTGCCTAGAGTGAGGTTGATTGACTCGACAAAGAAGCTTGTGGGGGTTGTAGGCAGGGACCTCTGTGCTAACAATTACCAGACCCTTTCTGTCCATATAGGAGACATACTGTTAAAAGACATGGAAGTTGGAGGGAATAGTGACTCCGGCAGTCAAATAGAATCACCTCGAGCACTAGCATTCAAAAGACCCTTCTATAGACCCGTGACTTCTATTGCCCCAGTCAAGCTCTGTACTCTCAAGTGCTATGAATTGATACAACTATTGCGTCCTACTGGCTTTGCACCACCATGTAATGTCGAGTCTTGCTAACATTCAGGGTTCAAAGTACATCAATTGTAGTATCTCTTTAACTGTTCCAGACTTGCGGGGGGATCCGTGACCCCACAAATTGAGCCTGGCAGTATATGTACATGTAGCTGTCGCACCAAAAAACGGGCGTGGCCACGCCACGCATATTTGTGTGTTAGTACCAGTTGACCCCCTATATCTTCTTGCGACAATAGCTATAAATTTATAGGAGGACTTGAGCTAGGTAGCCCCCAGTGAGGTCACGGGCCCTACAATACCCCTACCGGCAACTGGTAACCTCGGGTGACTTTGGTGGCAGTTTAAGTTTTGGAGTATTATGATGTAGCGATTTGTAATAAGCCTTCTTGTGGGGAACTTGTATCATCACCTAATTTACTTGTGACTACATGTATCCTTTAAAATCTAGCTTCGTATTGGATACGCATCCCCACAGATACTTGATTGGAGCCTTCACACAACGTACTTTAGGGGATCGACTTGACCAGATGGAATGGCCGCAGCAACAACGCCCCAATCCTCCGGCTCAGTTGACCACCGAGCCCATGTCACAGATACAACTTGCTTCTTCTCACTTGGCGTTTAAGTTTGTCTGTTCTTACGTTTTTTTTTTCCCCCATGAAACAGCGGTGGCCGGCTTTTGTTTGCAAGTCATGTCGCCCCGCTTTACTCCATTTGGCTTGCTTTGTACTCCGTAGAGTGAGCACCTGTCGTCCGCGATATCGACGTCGAAAACAGCCCCCTCACCTGGGATTGAGCGGCATGTTCTGCTTCGCCACAAAATCATGGGCATGACTAGCTATCAATTGATAATGACTTTACAGCCCCCGCACTGCTGCTGCAAAGTCGACTTTTCCTTTGCACATGTTGCCTCATGACTGATGCTTCCTGGCACTCCCGTTGTTTATACGGGACATTTTTTTAAGCTAACACGGAAACGGTTTAGAAAAGCCCGCTTCCACCCACTAAGAGACCATGCCGACAGCCGTAGGGCCGCACCAAGTAAGCGAGTGGCATCGCCAACAAAGGCCAAATTGAGAGGGTGGCGACGACAACATGAACGTTTCCAGATGTCCTGAAGAATCACGGAGGGCGCCACAATGCCGCCACCCCCTCACCTCCCCTGTCCTTGCTTATCTCTTATCGAGGATATCCCACCGCATTGGCCAATTTACGCGCTCTAATTCTGACTTGACAATGGCGCTGCGCGACACCAGACGCATCTCGCCGGTAGTTGAACCCCTGGGTGTGTTAAATCGTCCAGAGTTTCGGATCGCCTAGCGGACGGTTTGAAGAGTGCTAACGATGCCGGCACGGTTTAAAAGTGGACCTTGAGCCAATTAAAAATGGAATTTTACTGGTGAAAACGACCGGGGTTTTTTTAATAAAGGGACGCACGGAAGGCAAATAAGTGACCCCACGGGGATCGAAGAGCATTCACGAGTCAAGAGATTCTGGCACCAGGCTTTTAATAGCACATCTCGCATTTGACCTGGCTTGCCGGTCACGATTACAAAATAGCTGTAGGCTAAGGGATGACCTGGCCGGCAGGCCCGGTTGAATTGAGATTTTGAAATGGGAGCAGCCAGCGACGAGACATCGTCGTTGTATAGCTTGAAGTAATGCGGGTCTGAGTGACCAAATCTTGGACGGTCGACAGTCGCTGTTGAAGCAGTAAGAAGCTTATGACTGACTTGATGGCCAAGCTTTCCGCCAAGGTTATCCGTGGCTTATGCTGGCTCGGTGGACAATGTAGTCCTCGAACCTGGCCAAGACGAGACTTGCCCCAATGGCGACTTTATGACCTAGTGCTCTGGTAGAATCGTTGGGATGGCGAGGAGCATCTTCCGTGTCATGTCTGGCTTAGTGTATATTGTACCGGACGCTGGCTACTGATAGGGCTATAGGGGAGGCAGGGCCACACACTCGTAGATTGTATCACAGGACGGCCTAAGAGAGAGGCCTGGGACCATTCAATGTTGTTTCTTGCCAGCTTCACGTAGCGGTAGGCCAACGTGGTACATGCCATGCCGTGGTAATGTATGCCGGTGTTCCTCGTCGCGCCGACTACTGACCATGACAGTTCGGGGTGACAGGATTTCCTCGTCAGCCACAACATAAATGTCCCTGGAACCAAGACGCCCACTCATGAACCCTCAGGCTTGGCTCCTAAAAGAGCATCCGTTGTCCACTTCTTGCCCTTGGTCACCCCGCGGGAGACATCTACGCCGCGCGTCGACGCCTCCCATTCGTCTGTCCGCCAAAGAAAAGCCCTCCATTTCCCAGCCATCATTTGCTCCATCTTATCCGCCCGCATCCAAAATTCAGCCGTCCTCGACGCCGTAGTAAACCGAAACGTAGTCACGCAGACGACCCCTTTCTCTCGGATATTCCTCGCCGACTTGGAGTCATCTCCCCCGCTGCCGTCCAACAGGTCGTACAAAGAATCCAAACGCTGTGCAGCATCCCCCACCTCGGTGTTCCAAAAGACAAGAATAGACTGAGGCCTATGGTCACTAATAGCAGGAAACGGAGGAAAAGCAATGCTATACAGATGTATCGTTTCGAGCGAAACCAGACTTGCGCTAAGCGAAGAGTCGATCCCAAACGGCAGCAGGCGACGCCATATGCTGACCAGAGTGGTGAACTTGGCAATCTAGGGCTGTACGCAAATGTCCTTGGGGGCACGTACTGCGTCGACTTGCGCAGGGGTGTAGACGCGCCTCTCCGGCGGCCGGGCCGAGGTGGTAATGACGCCGGTGCAGATACATGACAGGATCCGGACCAGCCAGTGCGCCGGGTATCCGACCTCGAACATGCCGACGACGAGGTGGATAAGCGCGGTGAGGTTGAGCGGCGCGTACACGGGTGAGTCGCTAAAGACTGGCCGTGGGTGCGGTAGGCAAATCTTTAGTAAATGGCCATACACCCACTTCTCGAACCCAGCCTTGGAGAGGAGTTTCTGAAAAGGCATGACGCTCCTGGGTACGCTGTCCCATACGGTATACTGCTCGAATACAAACGAATGGAGCGGGCTGATCGTGGGTGGCGAGGCCTCCTCCGTGAACTCGCCTGGGCGCTGGGTGAGCAGGAAGTGCTGCCGGATGCGCTCCATGTTGTACATGAGTAGATACTCGGACCGGAAGGCCTCGTGGTTCTCAAACTCTGGAGGGTTGAGAAGATTGGTAAACCGCAGGCTGGACGGCTGGTCTTCCTTGAGGAGGGGCCGGCCTGTTAAGAAGGAGGTTAGATGGCCGCCGATGTAGTCCCTGTTCATCCATGTCAGACTTTGCACAAAATGCGTTGGAGTAGCAGCAGAGGGGGTCAAATCTTACGGTATATTGCTCATGTGTATGTAGTCAAAGGTGCGAGGAAACAGGGTCGGATCGGGGATGCGACTATTCTCCGGGGGGGACATCCGGTGGTCCAGCAAATTATAGCGCATGCGGTCCATGATGTCGGCCATTTCCCCTGCAATCACTTCCACGACCAAGCGCTTCCCAGGGTCAAGCATCAGTATGGAGAAGTTGAAGACGCGGAATACTTCTGCAAGTTTCTGGATGCAGCTGATGTCGGCCTTGTCCGTGGAGCCCGGACCACGCATCGACTCGATTACTTCCAAAGGATGAAAATCGAACGGGCCGGGTACATCATTCCCCTGTTCTCGTCTTCTATTCGCAAAGTCATAGTCGACAAGCGTATTGTTGAATCTCCAGTGTGCATCAATGTATTGGTATAATTTCTTGCCCTTGCCTGACGATCGGTACTTTGCCAGCAACTCGACAAGGGAGGGCTCGCAGCGCTTCACATCCGCCATAGGCGGCAGCAAGGTATGAAATCTCCTAAAGTCCTCTCTTTCTTCCCTGGGCCCGAATTCCGGCACTTCGCCTATAAGAGAAGCCGCGCGCATATCGGCTTTCCGGAGATTTTGCTCGATGAGTCTACGCACGTCGGCGATCTTGGAGAAGCCGTCCCACGGTTGCTGCCACTGACGAAGGACTCGAAGGAGAGGCTCGCGATCGTGGTCTCGGATGTAGACAAACTGGAGAGGGGCAGCGATACCCTCGAGCCTCTTGATGAGCTCTCTGATGTTGCTTGGAGCTTGGCCTCGGCGAACGGTGGGATAATCTGACAGCCGAAGAGGTAGGCCATGGCAAGGTACTCATCCTTGGCACCGGAGACGTCGTCCGGAACCGCCGGGTCAACTCGCTCCATCATGTTGAAGAAGATGAGCAACCTGGCCAGTGCTGCCACCTTCAGATCGAGCACAGTGAAATGAAGCTTGCTCAAGGAGGAGAGGCGAGATTCTCCGTCCATGCAAGCGATGGTGATGAGAGCGGAAAAGAGGTTACGTCCGTCTCCGAAGCCGGCGAAGAGGATTGAGATGTCTGGTCTTGTATCGCCCGTCATTCCAAGTGGCTCAGTCAACATCTCTAACTGGTCATGGCCTACACAGAAATACTCGGCTATGTCTTGTCTTGACCCCAGTCAGTAGGCGAATGACGTTGGGAAGGGGGACAGCGTACGGGCATGGCTTATACCGTGGTATCCGGTCAAGCAATTGTCTCCTGAGAACGGATTCGTCTGGGGCCTCGGCCAATAAAGCTTTCATCGACCCGACAGCTTGGTCTAGTTCGGCTCGGAGATGAGCGTCGCCAATGCTGGACACGGCATCCTCGGCAGAGTCGACATCATGGAGGTATAAAAAGCACTTGACCAGCCTGCTATACAACTTGTCATTCTTGGCGCTGTTATCGGTTTCAGGGACGGTTAGTGATATCGCATCTCTGATGTGAGCAATGGCACCCTTGTAGTCACCCATCTCATATCTCACAGCCGACAGGTTGGAGACGGGTGACGGATCATGAGGAGCCAGGGATGCAGCCGTCTTGTATGCCTTTTCAGCTGGACAAGATGTTAGCCGACTGCGAGATGACGCGTATAGGGGTGAATTTACCCTGCAGGAGTTTGCCTGCTCGGTACAACTCGTTGCCCAAAGCTCTGGCTTTGGCGGCATCATCCGTGGCGGTTTGAGGTTGCGTCGACATTGCGCTCCGGGGATTAGCTCAGAGTGAGCTACGTATCGTCGACACTGGTAGGTAGGTGCGATTGACGGTTTCTAGTACCCTACTCCCGATGGTTCGATTCCATGGGTTCCATTCCATATGGACTAGGTAGGTAGAAAAAAGAGCGAAGCTGGGTGGCGCGTGGGTCTTGAGCGAAAACGCGGTGACGGGAGAACAGGGACAGGGATGCCGCGTTTGTTGGTGCCTGGCAGGAAAGGAGTTGAAGAGAGAACCTGAGATCTCTTATACACCAGACCGATGCTGTCAGAGTTGGAATTGGAAAAGAGTCGGTGCATACCTCGCTAACCTGACCTGACGAGAGTGTAGATGACTCGACTATTCCTCTTTCCCAATTAGGTCTTTTATGTATCCTGTAGTGAAGTGAACCCGAATTCTAACCCACTCCTAGCCTAGACTCCTAGGACCAATAAAACCCTAACCCTAACTATTGACCCTAGTAGGGTATCCACGTATCTACTGCGAGTCTACTATAAATTACCAGACAAGTTTATTTAATATTATTTTCCTTATCTTTTTAGTTGCGGAATAGCTTATAAAGAACTCTACTACTATATAAATTTATTAAAATAGGTTTTTTATAATAAGTATAAATTGTATACTTATAATTTAAATAAAAGTAAATTTTTACTTATATATAAGTAATTATAATTAATTTTTGGTTGTTTCGCTTTATAGTTAAATAAAATTACACGCATAATATAAGTATCGTGCAAGCGTAAAATCTAAAACAGTATTGGGCTGTACCAGGCCAAGGACAGTAGGAGACTAGAAAAGTATAAGCAATTATAATAATAAATATACTTATAAAAATATATTAAGGCTGGTCAACTGTGCCCCTAACAACAAGATGGCCAGAGGCAGAGAGTACACAGCCAAAATTAAATCCAGCCAAGTACATCGTTTTGCTTTATAATTCCGTCAAACTCGGGATCATAGTTCTGCGTGCAAACACGCGCCATGGTCTCCTTGGAAACGTCATACTAATATGTCAACGACCGAGGATAGATACTGTCAGTGCTAGAGGCCCAGGCAATCTATACGCAGCTTTAACCTTGGCTATTACAGAATCCAACGGGCCATGCCACCTCTTGGGGCCACGAGGTCGCCATCGTCTGAAAACGCACTCGGTAATACGTTTAACTGCAGGCTATTTTATGACTTGTTGGGAGGCGTGTAAGTAATGTTCGGAGCTGTTGTGAAAACGACTTTTTTTTTGGACCCGGATATCACTGGCCAACCAGCCTAAAGTACCTTGCGGAACTTACTTCGTAGTTCTTCTAGGCACATGATACCATGTCAGGTGTATAGAGTTCAGGCTGCCCCTTCCATGAATAGCTTACCTTGATGGCATCTCTGCCTTGGAAGGATCCTCGTACTTTTTTCATGTCTTTATGCGCGTTCCGCTGTGCCGTTTAACAAATCGGACTGGTTCGCCGCCGGGGCTCCGGTCCCGTTAGAGCCGGGTCCAGAGCATCAGGGTTCTAAATCAATACGCGTAAAGATTTTATTCACATATATGTCACGGGCAGTGCCCACGGGCAATGCCCAAGGGCCAAGGCGGAGGAGCCGGCTCTGCCGGGACCGGAGTATCGGCGGCGAACCAGTCCGATGTGTGCAACTTGAATTCATTTTACCCAAGTTACCAAGCAGCAACTTAGATGCGAAAGTTGAAGTGGAACTTAAACTTTTATCTCCGACAGCCTAAAATTGATAAAACAAAGGGGAATTATTTGTTAAACTTCAGGCTAGCCCGTGCATATAGTGTACGGGCGGCTCGGCAAAACTGCCAATTCTATTCCTTGCACTAATACGGTTTTTAGTAATTACATGAAACTACTCCTGTCAGAATTTACTCGCCGGATGCCAAACTTCTTCGATGTAGCTTTTGCTAGATTACCAACTATAAAAGGAGTCTTGGCTGGAATTGCCTGTACACCTAATGAGTAGCAGACAATTGGAATATGCAGCTAGCTGTACGATAGTGAGTCCTAATCAATGCGCCGATTATATTACGGACTCTACATGTCCTCCCGTTACGACAAGGTCGAAGTTCTCGACTACACCAAGTCGACCGTCTTGTACAGCGTACAGATTCAAAAATGCAAACCGCAAATATCTATCTTCCGCCCATCAGACGAGATGCTATGCGAAGAGCTAGTCGCGCTCGTCACGTTCCACAAATTATCATCAGACATTGGTATTCAAATGCGCGATGGCCGGCAGCTCAACATGAAGCGCAAACATATTCTGTCAAAAATCTCTAGGGTCGAAAATGCGACATTCGAATGGAGCTGGAAGGGGAACGACTTAATATCTGGCAACTTGCGACTAATAGATGACGAGAGCAATACTGTCGCGAAATTGATAGAGGCGTCATCGTGGTCGAGGAGAGGATTGGGGTATATTGCTATTTCCGGACATTTCAGTTCGTCAATCATTGACGAAATAGTCGTGACTGGACTTGCCAAGCTGGGCTATCGGCTACTTGGTGACAAGATGCTGATTTGAGGCGAGTTACAGGGGCTATGATTTTATGGTTTTGGCCTGGCGTACTATCAGATTCTCAGCTGTTGCAAAATATAAAGGCTGGCCAACCTCCTGAATGAATTCAGGTAGTTGGTGAGTGAAGATGGAAGATGTCAGTTCTAAGCCAGACAGTTACACAGAGTAGATAAGAATATTATTATCTGCAAAAACAGCTTCCTCTTTCTCTATACTCTTTAAAAACTAAACTTATAATATCAGCACTTTTACTATTTAAATTCAAGTCAAGGGAGTATAACTTATTAATATTACTAGTAAGAGGTATAAGCACAATTAAGCCATCTTTCCCGGTCTAGGTAATCGTCAAAGCCTTCATTTTACCCTCGATAGCATCCAAAGCAGGCTTAAACTCCGCTCCAGCTGGGTTTAGCATCTAATCGGCACAAGACCATTTCAAAAATAGCCTCCAAACCACGCGAGACACCCGCCACGGACTATTTGATTACTGGTAAGGGATGACTTCCCAGTGTCGTGAGTGGTGCGAGTAGCCAGCACATTATACGAAACCTGTCTGTTGTTCACAACATTCTCAGTTAGACTTTTGTGTTGATACGAGTGGGACATTTTTGGTTCCAACGTACAGGTTCACCATTGTATATGACTTTGATGGACTTGTCAATGAAAAGAACGTCTTTGCCAGTAGAGATTTGCTGGGGGACGGGCCAGATGGCGTTGACAGGGTTGACAGCCGCAAAGGCGGCCACAGCAATGTACGTCTTGTTCAGCATGCTTCAAACCGATCCCGGCGGTCAAGCGATTGGGAAGATAGGTACAAGTAGACAGAATACAGGTCAGAATAAAATACAAGGTTGCACCGAGAACTGAGAACAAGTCGGAAGGATTTAACCACGAGCTGTACGCATCACAGCATTGAGCAAGGAGGTCATCGCCTACCCTTCCTTTGTGATCAAGCTTGCATCATCAGTCATGCAGTATTACAATGCTGCTTGTGCGCTTACTCACCAACTTCAAATGTAACATTAAGGGGTCCCCCGGTCCGGGTGGCGTCGCCGGTACTTGGCTCAGCAAGTAATCCATTGATGCTTTAACTGGGACCTCCGCACCCCAAGGTGGAGAGGTCAAGTAGACAAAGGCAGCTGCGCCTGGCGTCTCTTGCATATGTGATGTAACAATCAGGGATTGAAAAAGTGGCAACGACGCGTATCGTGCTAGTCGGTCGAAGGCACGATTTAATGCATAAATGATTCTACAATAGCCACTATTCCTAGACTAGTAGGGATTTCCCGTATAATGTCAGGCGTCTGCAGAGATCCACTGGCGCGGCGAAATATGCCACATGCCAGCACAACAGTCAATATAATTCACCGTATTATGTAATTAGCTTAGAACGTCTAATGCTCCCGCGCGGAGTCTACTAGCCAGCACTGACGATAAACAATACTACTTCTACTATAATTCACCCTGAGAATGGGAAGCAAGTGTACGGCGATGCGCCGGATCTGGAGACGTGCCGGATTCACACTGCTTCATTCAGTCCATAGCTGCCATTGACGAGGCGCTCGAATTTCTGAAACCATCAAGGTCAATGAAGTGTGCCAAAACGGCGCTGCGTTTTAATTGCGGCGAGACAGCGGCGACGCCGACGCAGCCTTAGCTCTTCACCACCGCTCTCGTGCAAGGGCTAACGTAGGATTTTCTTCAGCTTCAAGAGGAACCTTGTACCGTGTTCATTTGGATTCTCGGAGTAGTAAAGGCCCGACGCAGCAAGGTCCAGCCACCGACGGAAGGAATAAGGTTCCCCGACCCTCCGAGGGCACGTCGGAAGGCCGGCTCAATCCAAGAAATCTTACTGGATGCGATATCCGTTTAGAGTTCAACTAGGTGGCTGTCGGCAATGCGGCATGAGGCACTATACCATGCCAAATACCAAACGTTGGAAGCCACTTCAGCCAGTGCCATGACAGCTTTGTTGCGAAGGCTGAGCTTCGTTAGAGGGCTAATTAACCCCAATTGCTTGCGTCATTTGCCCGCCTTTGACGCGCCGGATGACGACAACCCATAATTGCTAGTACTGGTGAGAGTCATTCGGGGTCAGGCGCTTTTATTTTGAATCCACCTCTGTGGCTTTGCTGAAATTAAAGTTCAGGAGCTTGTCGTGGCGCAAGGCATCTAATGAGATCTGGTGCGTAGGTATTCCCGCCCGTCATCGGCTATAAATAACGTAACGGTAAATTCAATCTGACAACGTCGGAGAAACGCCAACATTGCCCAACATTCACCCAGATACCACAGTATTTCGCTGCTTCATCGCCGCACATCTAGCGTATTATATTTGATTCCAGCGTCACTCTACAGATAGCGTCTGATCCAGCAACAGGATCAGCAACACACAACGCATTTGCGACACCGTCGTGGGCCATCCAGAGCGTACAGGAAATAGCGTACAGGAAATCTTTCTGGATGCACCAATCCAAAATGTTCGGCAGGAGAAGACGTACGCCCTTGCTCACCGCTGCCGTCATCGCCGGAACTGCCACTGCCGCCTCAAGACACGGAGCGAGAAAGCAGTCCGAGATGGAGGCGCAAAGGCAGTTTCAGATGGAGCAAGAGGCCGAATTTAGAAGAAATCAACAAGACAGGGAGCGAATGCGCAACCAGCAAGCCATCGACGCGGCTGTCAACGAAGCCCTGGCCAAGCAGCAGACCAATCAGGGAATACAGCAGGCTCCAGCTCCTATTGTTATGCAGCCAGCGGTTGGTCCTCCTCCTCCGTTGTACGCGTCCCGCGATGAATACATGGCATCTGGACCCGGGCCGTATCTCGAACCTGGAGCCGCCCCTCCACGGCCACGAAGCACTGGGGCTGTTGACTCTGGCATATGCTTCTGTCATGGCTGTGGAAGCAAGTGCGGCATGCAGGATAGGTTTTGTAGTAGGTGTGGCCGATCACTAGCTGGCATTGCGCATGATGATTCTGAGAAGCAGCCAATGTAGACGACGAGTTGGTGTTGACGGACATGGAGCGTTTCGGGGGCAATTTATCTATTTTACGCTGGATTACCATGGTCAATGCAGAGCTGGGGCTTTATGTAATAGCTGAGCAACATGTCCTCGAGTGGCTGTCGCCGACGTACTTGTTGCAATAAGCTAAATTAATACATCTTGTAGTGAATATGCTGGTTCGATTACTCATGTCCTCCACACTAGGAAGCTACCAAATGATTGGGCATGGAAGTCAAATATATAGTTGATAAATTATATATTTGATATTTTCAAGTTTTGAAATTTCCCACCATCGGACATGACATTTATTGCCTGTACAAGATTAGCTAGGTTTCTTATGCCCCAGGATGCTGGATGTAATGGCTTAAGCGAGGGTGTTGACGACTGCCAAGTCTTGGGTACGAGTTATTCAAAGACTAAAAAACGAGGAAACATGACAATAAATAGAGACCCCAAACACCTAATCTCGTTTATTCATGGTCCCGGCAGGGTAAGCCGGGTGAAGGGCTATATAGACTACTATATGGCCACTTTGGCCGGGCAAAAAGGAAATGCGTAGATGAAGCTAATCATATGCCGTTGATAAGAGCCATCTCTCAACTCAACAGAGAAAGCAGAAAGTTTTGCCACTCGATAGTATCGCCTTGTGACATGGAATCGTTATCAAAAATCTCTCGAGCATCATACGGTTCTATGTTGCAAGGCTCCAACCCGGCGCCCCAGTCCTGGAATACTGATCCCGTAAGGAATAATTCGGGGGTAATACACGTGTCGTACGGGCCGTTTACTTGAAGATTGTGGGATGGGGTCCTAGAGTCCTCGTCGGAATTTTCGGCAAAGCTTGGCGTAGGTACAGTAGCTACGCAGGCTGCGGTATCCAGGAATGTCGTTTGACTTGTCGGTTCATATGGCGGGGAGTCTAAACTGGACGGTAATGAGCCATCTGCATCCGTCGCGGGGGGACTTTGTCCTTGGGAACGCTGGTGGTGAAGCAGTTGGCAAGCTAGGTCTACCATGTCGGACTCTGTCTCCGGAAAGCTTTCTCTCACGGAAATAGTATCATCGACATGGCGGGCGCATCCTAGTAAACGAGCAATAGTGTGTATAACTGGCTGCCCCTCTTGGTTCAGGTCTGGTTCTTGTCGGTCCCACGATTGGTTGCTACGCACCATATCGTATAGCTTATATATGGTTGCAATGAGTGTATAGTGATTGTTTTCGAGGATTTCAGCATATCTTGAACGCGTTAGGCAATAATGGACGCTTGAAACGAATGAAGAATGCTTACCCTGGGGGTGGTTGTTTGTATTCCTTCTTCTTTCCTGTACTAGTCGTACAGAACACACCGTCGTCCTTACAACGAGAGCATGGGCGGCCATTGTCGCACTAAGGGCTACTTTAGCTGTAGCCCTATTTCTTATTTCCTATTTGTCTATTGTTTCGGCTTGGTCGCTTACCTTGGACTTTTTGACACGGCACCTCTCGCAGGCCTCCCTAACACGGTCGTATCGTGGCCGTCTTATCAGGGACGACGTCCCTCCCTGTGATTCGTTTGACGTCTGCGATTTTGGTTGCTCTTCCCCTGGTATTAGGGTTCTCATTTTGGCTGTAGGAAGTGAAAACTTGTCCATGTAGAATCTAGTCTTTTCTTGTGCGATGTTGTTGGGGTGGGTGCAATCGGCGATCTCAATTCATATAGTAGCGTCCTTGGTCGTATTATTCTCCACGTGAACTCGATGGCTTCGCAGCTGGGTAAATCTGTCGATACTACCTGCACTGGAATTGCGTCATGGCCCATGTCGAAACGCAATCAAAACAAACACTTGAGCAGCATGGCAAGCACTCAGGCGCATAATACAGCTCACTATGCCCCACCAAGAGTTTGCAGCACATGCAACCAAACAAAGAGTCGTAGGAGCCTACTTGCTGGCCTTAGGTCCTGTCCTGGCCCTAGGCTTTTTGCAAGGCATTCTGGGGCTCTTTGCAGTGTACGGCAGCAGCCTACAGGATCGTGTGGTAGGCTTCAAGGTTGGGGCAAAGTGGAACTTGCCGTCATAGGTCCTGGCGGTTAATTTTACCGCGGTCCTATGTAGCCCGCGGATGTGACCTTGCGGTCTGGTGCTCCGCTGCTTTGCTAGACTGTAAACAGATGATGAAGCGAGCCTTTGTCGGGCACGGTTTCTGACAACTCGACCAAGATGCATTGACGTCGCGTGCATCGGCAAGTCCGAATCGTTTCTAGTTTCTGGGGTTCTAGTTTGTCTGATAAAACATTGGCAAGGGGTACCAAGCCAGCGGTATTATTGCGGAGGTGATTGACGTGATGGATTTTCAGTGGCTCGTAAGAGTTAAATGGACCCCAAGCCACTTGGCATGTAAGTGTTTCAGATTCCTCTTTGTAATCAACCATTGCTGCAGACTCTATTATATAGACGACTGATTCATGTCAAAACGTTGTGCATCAGAGTTCATGCAAGGGTCAAATTGACGGTGGACTTGGTTACCTGGTCGAAACCATCCATCATGGACTCTTGCAATGTAATCGCCCCTCTTCCATCTCAGCCGAATATCTTGGTATGGGATCGCAACTCACTTCCTCATCAAGGTTCACGACTTGGTAATACAAAAGTTCCGGTTCAAAATACGAGGTAATAAACTTTTGAGGTTTGGATTTCGCTTCCATACAAATCCCTCATAATGATGGCCTAACCACATAACTAGCTGACTGCAGTGCAGAATGTCCCAGTGAACCGCGCAGGGCACGGCTCCATTGCTATCCGCCAATTGGAATATACAACTACCGGCGGATTATTATGTAAGTGAGAGTAGGAGAGAATAACGTTATGTCGGTTCCACACATGTATCAGTCGCCGGGGACTATGCTAAAGTGATCGCCGATCAGGGAAATAGGGCATGCCGAATTGGAACCAATAGTAGGTCCTGATTAACAAGCCCACTTTCTGTACTGGGAACACGCAAGGGCCCCCCCTTAGCGCGACAATGAATGTTCTAGACCCGTGGGACTTACGGAGTCGGCCTCTTTGTGCTCAAAATAGCCCGAGCGGCTCACTCAATGCCGAGCCCCACACCCTTCAAATCGTAGATGAAGAGTCCTACCGTTGACCTTTTTGTAGCACCGTTTTTACTTGGCGAAAGCTTATTCACGGCCAAATTTGCCTTTGGCACGCAACTTCCATACATATGTAGGTGTAGCGGCCTGGGCCTGGTGTCAAGATTAAGCCGCTTACCTAAGGCAACAGCCATTATTATACTACTATCTGCGAGGTAGCAGTATTCACCACGCTTCGACTCTTCTTCTCAAGTATTTGGACAGGGGGCACGTAAACAAGTACCAAATGGGAGCCAGCTCTTTCTCCAATCATGCTCGAGCTGTTGCTTTCTCGCGCATCCCCGAATGTGTATTTTATTATTGGCCAAAACGGGATCTGGGCCTTCAACCAAGTAGCTAGCAGCCTTATCGGACAACTAACCTAGGGACCTGAGGGCCACCGTCTCAGGACCTTCACCGCTACAGAAGCTCATCGCAGAGACTATCAATTTGCTTTAACCGGCTCATAATCTTCTCCTCCGACAGCATAAGTCTGGACTCATTCCACCACGGCGCTATACGGTTTGGGTAGCAAATACGAGCCAAACAGGCCATCTTCTCTTCTCCGCCAGAGAGCTCCTCATTGACCCTATTCCTGGTTTTTCTTTGACCACAGTCGACGGCTGCATCTGGGCGTGATGACGCATGGTAATGACTGTCCGTGAGCAACACTTGTCGTAAACGCTGGTTTTCGATGAATAGATCTCGGATCCGACTCCTCCGCAGCTGGCTGTCTAGTAACGTCTCTTTTGTACTCTTTTCTAGTTTCGCTATCCGATCCTCCATGTCTCTAATTTTGCCTTCTTCCCGTTGACGAAACGCTTGCTGTCTAGAATCAAAATGTGAGTTGTACACTCGCAAATGACTCGCCCACAAAGCAGGCTAGCATAGAGAGGCGGGAGCGTACTTACGCAGCTCGATTCTGGGCTTTTTTCCTTTTTACTTTTTCTTCTGACAAAGTTTTATTCTCATGCGGCCTTCTGTCGTTGTTGGGTTTTGCTACGTTGCAAAACGGCAGTGGCAATATTTGTGAATCCACACCCAAGAGTGCTGTGCTAGAAAATGTTTCACTACAGTGCCAATGTGAGAAGTCGAAAGCATCAGCGGTTAGGCTTGATGGGTGGCGCTGGGCTAATAGAGGACCCGATGTGCTGTCGTGACTACAAAGGGCCTCTTCATACGTGGTGCTTAAAAGGCCATCGGACTGGAATTACTCGTCAGTAACACAGCGATGGTACAAATTCTCTCCCCAAATACAGCCCTAGGAATATTCGACTCAAACATGCAAACTCAACGGGCTTCAAAATATTAGATAGTAGAGTTAATACCTTTGCGATAATGCAACTATTGGCAGAATCGACAAAGTAATCGCTGCTTATATGCGACGGTGGTGTGTATGAAGTAAAGTTGCATGACGAGGAGTCCCATGCAGTGGCAAGTGGTTCAACAACGTAATGACAATTACTACAGATATTAGTCATTCTGGAATAGATAAAAATAAGAAGGAACTGAGGCCAAGGAAATCTTTTCCCATGGGCAGACTCTAACCTATTTATATGAGAGTAATGCTATTCGAGGCAGTAAATCCACAAGTTGTCCGGAATAGGTCTAGGTCAATGTCCATGCGCCTATGCGCATGAACGCAGCCTAGGAATATCACATTACACAACTTCGCGGAACGCTAACAGCTTATCAGCTGAAATGAAGCGCAGCGTCCTCTCAAAGTTTTCCGCCCATGTTTTTAGTTTACTAATCGTAAGTTTTAGAAACTTCTATCTAGGTCTACTTTTAATTATATAATAGTATATTTATGAAATAGCAGTAGCGGTTAGTCTTTCCGAATAGTATTAGAAACGGCCTTCCGGGTCCGCCGCAGCTGGGATGGCTTTACGGTTACCAACTTTCTTATACGCATCTACTACTCGCAAATCAGCATGTAAATACTGCGCTGTCACTTGGGCACTAAAGGAGCATGTCTGTGCCGTGGTCGGCGCCCTCCTCCATATCTAGTGGTATTAAAACCTTGGAGCATACGAGCTGGGTTGCGCCTTGTTGAACTAGAGTTTGACACAACTACTGGACAGCACTGGAATGCCCGAGGTGACACTGGCACTCTGTATCCGTGAATTGCCAATGGCTCCGTGATAGGTTTTCAGGGCATGTCGGGCTGGGAAGTTGACCATCTCAGCATACGATATAATGCCAAATAACACGTCTACCACGGTACGCATTACATCATGACTACATGCGATGCACTTCTTACATGCTGACAATTGTGGTTTTCAGATGCGTTGTAGGCACCATCCCCAAACGCCTGGCAACAAGTACCATGTTGGGCTGGTCTGGAACAGAGTCATGCTATTCCAAGACGACGACTTGGTATAGGTTTTCCCCCCTTTGGGCTTTGGGGGTTTTCCCTGTACCATAATGCAAATGCAAAGGCAGTAGGGCATATTTATTAATGTCAGGTTACTTGGCAACGTATTCCACCTGCGAGTGCCACGCCCAGAATCCCCATGCGCAATAGCATGGCAACCACTATATATACATGAAGGGAACGCTTATGCCTGGGCTGCCCGGCCACGTGTTTAATTTATGTGGCCAACAAGTCCTTTGTCGGTGAAGCCCCTTTATCGGGCTTCACGGTCTGTTTGGCCTCTTCCGTGCAACATTGAACGTCTGTCGCTGCCAGCTGTTACCGTCGCCTTGAATCCTACCATGATGAGCACATGTGGCATCAAGTAAAAAGAGGAAACTGGCGCTGGTGTACTTGACCTATTGTCATCCTGAAGCTATCAACGCAGACCCAGAAGTGACGGCTGAATATAAAAGACGGGACGCCAAGGCAGAACAAGTCAATAGACGGCATTCTCAGTGACCTTGCCTTCCACTCCATCTCCCTTTCCTTCTAGTTTCATTCCTACCTCAACTATGGAAATAGGCACCAGGTTCCCGAGGTGCAAGATGGGCAGATAAATTATAATTATTTATAAATTATTATATTTTATGTAATCTGCCGGCGCTAGCCGCCTCAGCTCACACTTGCCCATCCTCGCCCTGCAGCAACCTTGTTGCCTCGCGATATGCCTTCAACGTTCCTCTCTCGGGCCCGTCATCCCAGTGGTCAGTCACTAAAACAATAGCGTCAAGTACACTTCACAGCTGGCAACTCTGTCCAACAAGTTCAAGAACCTCTTTGTAGTATTATGCACAGTTCAGCTTGAGCAGAGGCTATATAAAAGGTCTGGTTCATAAATACTAGTGATATTAACACGAAAAGCAGCCATCCCGTACACGGACTGCAAGTTTTTCTGTCCATCTTCCATCGCCCTTTACACAGCGCCCATTGACTCGCCGCATAAAGATCAAGGCTCTGGTTTGTGCCTAGCCGGACTTTAGGCCGCACTGCTCCTCGCAGTCACTGCAGGCAATGCAGGACTGGCTAAATGGGCAGTCAAAGCAGAGATCAGTCTTGACCTTGTCGCAGGCGGTATACGTCCAAGTCGGCTTCCAGTCCCTCTGTCGATGGACACATTGGCCCGGCTCAGAAGGGGGCGCCTCGTCAATCTTGTACGTCTTGGAGAGCATCCAGGGCTGTCTCTTGCCGTCCTCGCAGACAAAGGCGGCCTTGAACTCGCCGGGTCCGAGTTGCGCATTGTCAAACTCGACCGTGGCGATGTCGTCATAGCCTTGAGTCTGCTTCACGTAGGCCCAGGCCTTGAAGTCGGCGGCATAGGGATTGCAGGCGTCGGCCGGCCACATGCCGACCCATGGGCGGTGGCCGCCGCACTTGGGGTCCGGGGCATAGTAGTTGATGACGGTCTTGGTGGCTGTGAGCCAGTCGGATATGATGACATTCTGACTTCCGTCGGTAGGAACGCGTTGGGGGGCGGGCGAGCCGAGGACTGGCTGCAGGGCGCCCAGCACGAACACGGTTGCGGTTGAGAGGTACATGATGGGGGGGGAGAGAAGAGGTCTGGGGGTGTTGGTGTGTGACAAGGAGCTTGGAGGTGAAGAGTGTCTTGCTGGTCGGTCAAGATGGGACATGGAGGAATGTGCGGGCATCTTTATAGTAGCACCTTTGGCTACTTCGCTACGGCGTAGCTATTCGGCGTGCCGGGGGGCGACTTGGCACTCGACTGTATTCCACATCATGGTTAACAAGTCTGCCCGACCCGTGATGCTCTTCTGGGCTGACGAGATATCGCCAAGTGGTTGACCGTGCGAGTTTGGCCTAGCCTTGGCTGATGGCATGACTTGGTGGATCTATAGTATGTATATACTACGACTTGAAAAGAGCATCTCGGAAAAACGGGTCATAGCGGATGAGGGCTTAGAGGACGTGATATTATCGGATGAGCAATGCTATATCCCCTGCCTCTGGGTTCAGCGCGGATAATTCACTCTGCGCAAGCGGCAGGGAGGAATCACGCATGCGACATTCCTCCTCCCTCTCCTGCAAAGTCCCGATTCAGATGCTCGAATGCGTAAAAAAAAAAAGGCTTCATCTCTTGTGCTGGTGTTTCTGTTTCCACTTTTTATTTCATAAACATGCAGCCATGGTGACTTGCTTGCGTAGTCTTGGCATCTACGTGTTATATTATGTATCTGCACTCTCCGACAATGCCGGTTCGTGCAGGGTTGCCATGAGTCGTGAGCCCGTGGGCTTCATTTAAAAAGTATTGGACCCCATACCGTCTACGCGACGCATGTGATTGACTACTGGCCAGAAGCGTCTTGGAGACACCAGGCAATTGTCATGACTACTGGCTTACCAAGCGCCAGGGTGCAATGCCAGGGTGTGGCATTGAACTGCCGGAAATGCGCACACTGCCCATTTTTCCAAACGCCTCGCTAAAAGGATCACAGTCCCTATGCTTCACTTTTTCTAGCCGCATGTCTCATCCCGCAAGCTATAGATGAAAGACGTTGTCATCTTTAGAGGCGAGCGGGGGAGTTTGTAGACATTTCATCCGGTATTCCTCTTTGTACAGAGACAAGGACCAAACGCAACGATGGATGCGCTCAGCTATCATTGCACTCAAGAATATATTAAACCTTAACATCAGTGGGCGGGGCCAGCTACGAGGCACCTATTGATGCTTTGAGACTGAGTATGCGTCGACTGTGCACAGATGCAGCCGTACCCGATTCGGCGTTGCCAGTGTCCAGGACACCCCTTGTAAGCGTAGCAACGTATAATATCGATTGACTTGACATGTACCATGTTCCTGATACAATATACACAGCAACCCGCAACAGCTCCTCGACCAACTTTCTGCACCAGGCCTCCCTTGCCTAATAGGCCCAACACGCCCATACTCGGTGGAATTGCTCTTTCACACATTGGTCACATTCAGTTTACATGGCTTAATTCCCTTCAAAACATCAAGGTAGCGGCAGGGAAATCTGGGACAGATGAGAGCAAGGCGGACGCCCGGGAATGGATTAGAGAGGACCTAGTTATGCGAGGGGTATACTTGTACAGGCAGGGCAGTTGGGCATCTTGCTGTCGAGGTTGTATGAGCTCTATCGGCGAATCCAGCTGGCTAGGCCGACAAAGCTCCATTTCGCCGACAGAGACGATGTTGTCATTTAATGTTGCCCTTGCATTCTGGGCCAGATGGCATTTCAGGGCCTCGGAAGCATGTCCGAATTGACCGGCTCAAAGGTTCTCTCAGTCTTTATTAAACAGCTGGAAAGTATATCGTGGGGTATAGCTCAACGTTTCAAATATCCATTACCGAGTCTGAAAAGGGATAAGTAGCTTCAAATAGAGGGGTTATGCCATGATGATGATCCGTCCGAGTGACAGGCTGAAGTTTGTTAATAATCAGCTCAAAACTTGACATGGCCCCTCGGTGTGAGCAGATTGTAGGTCCTCGTCCCCGTTTGTAACAAGAGCATGGTAAAGAAGGGACAGCGCATGTGCGTGACAGGCGCCGTAGTGTCGTAGACCGTCTTGTGAGCTGGTACTTTTGATTCCTCCCATTATGTTACACGGAAATGGCTGGTTACACAAGGGCTACGGTCACGAGACCTAGGGCAAAGTCCCTCACCGAGTTCTTGTATCTAAAGACGTCTTTGACCTTCAAGGCCTTGAGGAAAATCAAGGCCCTTTGATACCAAAGACTGCTATTAGTTGAATTGAGCTAAATTGCTCCAAGCCGTCTATTGAGCCCTTGTCACATATTATCAGCATGCAGCCGTCAAGTCGAACTAGCCCCTAGCTTTGTCAAGCATGAACCAGCTTGATGCATAAACCTAGGGAAATAGCCAGACGCAACTTGTGGAGTATTCGATTCCACAGCAGCTCCAGCACCCCAATGTTCGCGTCGTAATCAATGTCCATGTCTCGCCAAAGGCCCTTGTCTCCTCTTCTCCACCAACAGTTCCGGTCGCCCACATTCCGATGCCACATGCAATTTCGGGCCACATGCGATTTCGGAATCAACGTCGGCTGGGTGCCAACTAGTAGGATCAATATTATTACCAAAGTTGTGAACATGGCCCTTGTATTCCGCATATTCCAAGTGGAGGCACCACACAAGTATGGTACCCCCATCGGCCTTTAAACTCAACACTGGTGCCTCCATTCCTGCCGTCGGACTTTGTGAGACGCCCGAGGCTACAAAGTGAGAACGAAAACTGAGTGAGCGTCGGAACATGGCCAGCAAACCCGGGCGAGGTTGGAAAGGCCGTTGAGCACGCTCTCAAGTCTGGCTACAGGCACATTAACTATGCGCTTATTTACCCCAATGGTGTGCTGCATCTCCCCAACAAGCCCAAAGAGCATCATCTATCAACTTCCGCCCAGTGTGACAAGGGCTAGAGGCTTGGAGCAACATAACTCAATTCATATAATAACAGTCTTTGGTATCAAAGGTTCTTAGTTTTCGTTAAGGCCTTAAGGGACCGAAGATGTCTATTTATACAAGAAGTCGGTGAGGACCTTATGCCCTAATCCCGTGACCGTGGCCCTTGTGTAACCAGTCATTTCCGTGTAACACCCAGTGAAAGAAGTAGGAGGTGCCATTAATAGATCTGGCGTCCCTCGAAAAGAAATCTTCAAACAGACTTTCTTGACCTATACCTTGTGCACTGGCCAGTATAAGTGAATTCATGCCGTCATCCACGTCATTGTTGCTGACCGTAGCCAGACGCCTTATACCTAATAAAACATCTAACCTCCTTCCCGTGAACCCAGACGGCATGCGTTCTTTTAATCGCTCCTAGGATTAGTAAGATACCTGGAGGCAGATGGAGGCGGTCTACTACTCCGGAAAGGCCAAGGTGATCGGTGTGTCGAACTGGAGCGTGCCATACCTAGAGCACTTGAAGAAGATGTGGACGGTGACGCCAGCCGTGAACCAGGTACATGTTTTGCCCTTCCCACCGTCCCCTAGATGCTCATGTTGTTAAGCTAGTCCGTCACTGCGAGCCGGATCGAGCAGAACCTCAAGGTGGTGCAGTTATTAAAAGAGGTCATGGGGGTATTAAACGGCATGGCTGTAAGTGGTAAGCAGAAGAGAGTCAATACTCGGGCCTGGGGTCATGATTTGTATGTTCCCCCGCGGGCTCATACTATAAAAGGGGCATGCAAACTGACGTGTGCGACAGGGAATTAAGGACTGGTATAGGCGGGTGCCGAATTAGTTGGGAGACTAGTGTTCTCATCTCGCCTCTCGGGAGCAGGAAGAGTTTTGTATCGGTTATTCTCTGTACGATTCTGGAACCTTTATTGGAGGAGGGATCAATAGGCTGTGGCTTTGCGTCGAGCGAGATGGTCGCTTAATCCGCGTAGAAATTTTGGTGCTTGGGGCGTTTCCTGCCCGTCATATAGTCTGTGGCAGAATATGACTCGAACTTAATACTTGGATAGTAGGAAATTATGAGGTTGCAGCTGTTTCAGTGCAGAACAGAATATTCATATAAACGGACCTATAATCAAATGGGTTGAGTTGATCGAGGTCAACCGTGGTAAGCAAGCATCACTGTCGTTATCAAGTTTGATGTCGCTATGCCAAATTTTTGGTAATTTCGTTTGTCAAGATGCTTGTATCTAGCCGGTTTAACCTCTGGGGACGCTGCCTTGCCTAATTGTTGATACTAGGATCGAACCATTTCCATCCTGTAATTCATGCGGCGCAGTCGGCGATTCCGTTTTCGGATTCGCCCCATTAGTCGGTGATTCCGTTTTCGTTTTCGGATTCGCTCCATTCGCTCCATGGGCCTGTCACGTCTGGCCGGGAGCTGAACTTCAGACGGCCAGGCGCCAAGTCACCCTTCATCCAATATATGCAACTGCCGCTCCTCACTTTTCTTTTCAATAAAAATATGGGACAGTCTTGCATTACCGAGGACTTTGTTGCATCACTCGCGCAACTACTCAATACAGCGCAGGTCCCGTGTGTTCTTTGGGGCCACGTTCTCCTCCGCATTCACGGAGTTCCAACCATTGTTGGCGTAAGCGGTCCCCCCCATCCTCTTCTCTCCCAAGTTCACAGAATACTTACTGTTATCTCCAGGCAGTAGATTTTGTGGTCCCAGATGAGTTACTCTTAGTTGCCACACAAGCTCTCACACCTCACGAGAAGCTGATACCTTGTCCCGATGGCAAGGACTGCGACATCATCTCGCCGAGCCGGCCGACTCCTGCTCCTGAGAGCCACCTACATATCGAGGGAGCCGAAGAACCGGTCGGCCTTTACTCCCAGTCCGCAACTCTATGGTTCTTACCGCCCCTACAGGCAGCCCTGACAACGCCGGATAGAGGCCAACTTCCACCTTACTATGCCCTTGCCTCGGATAAGTCTATTCTGCCTCCTTACAGGCCAGGGAGAGGCTCTGGGTTCTTCAAGTCGACGATTCACCCTGTTGTTACTGTTCCCTCACATGTTCTGCTTGAAGCCTTTATGCGTTTTTGTGCGCGCTATGTGAACACACCCGCTGGCGGCTTCTCTATTAGCATGATTGCTTATGTGGGGCTTTATATTGATGATGATGGGTACTTGGATCTCAAGAAGCTCTCAGAGCCACTATCTTCATCTTATCTGGCGCTTAGAGAAGGGAAGATTCCTGTCCGACAGTGGGTGAACGAGCTGAAGAAGCTACTTGGGGAGCCTGGATTATTAACATGACATTACTAGATGCTGCCATCGGACAATTCTTTTTATTCTAGCTAGATTTAGTCAGAATCGGAGGACTAATGTGAGCTACTTTGCATGTATTTATAGTAGGATGGTCTTTTCAACGTCAAATCCATCAGCCTGCGCGAAGTAATACCCTCGCTGATTAGCCAGCAGCCTTAGCATCCCTGCGCCACTTTCTCGTTCTATCTCAACATCGCAGTTATAATGCGTGTGCCCGAAAGCCCACACCTTGACTTTAATACTATTAAAGCATTGTTCGTTTACTAGGTCCGTAGAAAATCCGCTGATAATAGGGCTCATCACATGCTTGGGATCTGAAACGCCAGGAAGCCGAGATGGACTCCAGTAAGTAAGAATAATGATGCTGGTGGCATCACAGTGGTCCTCGAGCTTGGCTACCTCGTCATTTAACCAGCTAAGATCGCGCCGATGGGCGTTATTGTGATCCGCCACCGTCCAATCGTGAATAAGAAAGAAATCATTCAGGCCCATCTCTACGGTCATTTGGCTTTCTTCGGGGATATGAGAGAAAAGACTGCAGCCTAGGATGACAGTATCTGACCCTGGTGGGCGATACGTCCCGCGATCAAGCACCGCAAAGTGGCCGATCGAACTGTCGCGTTCGACTTGTTCCTCAAATACACTAAGAACAGCGATAGTTTTTTCCCAGTTCGAGTGATATGCTTCGTGATTCCCTGGAACGAAGAAAATAGCCTGAAATTGACAAAGATGTCTCGTTAGGAAAGCGAGAATATCGTCTTTGTGGGCAACGACATTGCCAATATCGCCGAGGAGGGCAGATATGGTGCCTTTGGACGAATGGTATACAGGTCGCAGGCCTTTGGAGATTCAAGGGGCAAATCAGAGAGAATCTGAATGTCCATGACGGCACGCTTTGGCAGGCATTTGGTGGTGAACGGTCAGCGGTGGTGTGTACCCTTGTTGCCTTTTTGAGACCGATCACGTGATCGTAAGAATGGGAAAGAGTGGGTCAAGGACCTTGTTTGCTGGTAACAATTGCTTGCCGTCTTCCCTGAGCCAACTACATCGTGATGGGAAGAAAGAATAAACGTCTTCGTTGTCAATAAATGCATTCGAAAACCCGCTTCAGTGCGCTGAGTAGCGCTGCCCGAAATTTGTCCAGTTTTGCCCAGCCAAGGCTTCACCAGTCACCATCACTCCTACGTGCATTTACGCGCCGACCATACGCGATCAGTCGGTCAACTTTCACACGCTCCTATTCCACAATAATAGCGCCACACGAATACGAGTGGATTGACGGTGCGGAGCGCTTAGAAAACTACACAACTGGCGGTTACCACCCTACACAAATTGGAGACATCTATCGCGATCGATATGAAGTGATAGACAAACTGGGCTATGGAGGGTGGTCAACCGTTTGGCTGGCACACGACTTTCGAAAGAAGCAGTACGTTGCCTTGAAGGTGGGCATTGCAGACTCCTTGCCCCATGAAGTTGCGGTTCTTCATGTCCTTGGCAAGCAGACAACGGTTCCAGGCTCCGCGGCCATTCCACGGGTGTTGGATGAGTTCCGGATCCAAGGCCCCAACGGCTCCCACCCTTGTTATACCACAGCTCCTGCGCTCTGCAACCTTCGGGAGAGCTCATTCAGCCGTTTGTTTCGCCTTGACGTTGCTCGTGCCCTAGCTTACGAGCTCACTCTTGCTGTTGCCTACGTGCATTCAAGAGGCTATATCCACGGAGGTGCGTGACATGATGGAAAATCGACGTTACTCGTACTGATACTACACATTAGATATCCATCTTCGTAATGTGTTGGTTAGTGCGCAAAAGGACTTCAATCAGCTGTCCGTTGCACAATTTCGTGAGGAATACGGCGAACCTGAATCATACCCCGTCAGACGAGTAGATGGACATCCTCTCACCCCTAATGTGCCTCCAAGAGCGGTAGTGCCACTTTGCATTGAAAAGAAAGCCCCTGAGTTTACGCTACAAGACGCACATATTCTTCTGAGCGACTTTGGAGAATCGTTTGCTCCGGCAGAAGAGCCTCGTCTAGGTAAAGACTGCCATACACCAGTGGATTTTCGACCCCCGGAAGCTCGTTTTGAACCGAATATCCCTCTTTCCTTCTCCGCAGACGTTTGGAGTCTCGCAACTGCCATCTGGGATATTCTAGGTATGCAAGCCCTTTTTAGTAGCGCCTTTTATTCAGATGCGAAGGTCATGTGTCAGATCGTCGACACCTTGGGGCCATTGCCTTCCGACTGGTTCGAAAAGTGGGAAGATCGAGGGGACTTCTTTGATGCTAAAGGAAAACCAACACCAGGCCGATATGTATGGCCGAAAATGCAAGAAGCCTTTGAGGAGCGCGTGCAACAGTACCGACGGGATGATAATATGGGCGAATATTGCGAAGAGGAAACAGCGGCCATCTTGGACATGATGGTCCAAATGCTCAGATATAGGCCTGAAGAGCGGCCGACCGTACAGCAAGTTCTACAATCGGACTGGATGGTGAAGTGGGCGCGCGCAGATTACAGCGGTGTCATCGGTGCCTCCATACCTTTTGAGCATTGAAAATCGGTGACAATGATATCTGCTAATTCCTGATAGAGACTAAAGGGTATATCGAAAGGGAATCGTTCAGCGTCATTCCCTCGTATAAGGTGAGACAAGCTATCTAATGTACGACTGAATGCAGAAAAGTCGCTGGAGCTTTCAATACGAATAATGTCAAGTTAGCCTAGGCGGACATCAACACCACGTTTTGCACTCTCCACCACACATACAGTCGCTGCTCAAATCCAGCACATGTCCACTTGACGCGACACGATGACGGAGAGAGGCGGCTCTTCGGCGCAGCTCTCCACACATGGCTCGCGCCGCGCTCGCATATGCAACCTGCAGGTCATTGTGTGCCTGATGTGTGCCGTTCCCGGTTGCCAGGGTTCGCAGAGCCTCTGCGTACGCCTGCTCACGAGCTGCGTGGTCCAGCCGCGCCATGCCCCTGGATGACGGAGGCAGATGGCTGAATCGCGACCTCGCTGCATCACGCATTCTCCGCAAATCCGCGGCGTCGTCGGGGGCAATTCGCCTGTGCCCACACACGCTGGCCATGACGACGGTGGCTTCACATGAAGGCCGCATCGGGCAAGCACACAAGTTGCCTGCTGTGCGTTCAAAGGTCGCGCACGCACTCCCCGCGACTACCCCAATGTCAACGGCTGCTCTTGCATCTCGAAGCACCACGGCCTCGAGCGCGTCACATACCATGTCCATGCTGGCGGCGACCCCTTCATACCCAGCGTGAGCACCGACTGCAAAGTAGCAGTTGTCCAGGCATCCCCTCCTGGCGTCACTGCACAGGTCGCCCGCATCGTGGCTGAGGGCTGCCATGATGTATGTCCACAACGAGACCGGTTCCTCGCCATCCGTGCCGCCGCCAAGTTCATGGTGCATCGTGACGTTCCAATGGGCTCCAAAGGACCACGCACGCAGCCGCAGAGCGCGCATCAAGCCCAGCGTCGACACACACCCGGCATGCCAGTCCATAATCCCAGGCCACCGGCGCATCAGCTCGTCAGCGGCAATCACCCACCGGCCCAAGCTTGCATGCCGTGCAGCCTCGCTGGCGTACGCGGTGAAGTCGCTGGCCTGGACACGGCCGTGGTCCAGCGCGGTGAGGTACGTCCCAAGCAGCAACATCTCCAGCCCATCCGCCAGCAGGTTGACATGGTTGTTCATGAACAAGTAATGCAGCCACACTGTTTCGACGGACCCGCGCGAGCCCCTGTTGATTTCTCGACTGGCTTTGCCGCTGGCCTGCACAATCTCGCGACGGCCCGGCCCAGCCAGCCACATGGCATCCGCGAGTATCTGACGTGTCACGCCGATCCACGCGCCGCGTTGATATGCGAATTCTAGCAGATGCTCCTGCTCGGGGGTGGCGTTGTGACTGGCTGTCCCTATTTGGACCGACACTTCGGAAGAGAGGGACTTTGCCCGTCCCGATGCCGATGACCCGAGTTGCGACACGAATGCCGACGTGTCGTTGCCGCAAGAACACCAGGTTGCTAACGGCCCGTTATCATCCTCGACCGCGTGCCCGTCAACCCGCGGCCTATACCTGCTCGTCCTTGTTCCATGCTCGCCGCGCAATTCCCTCGCTGCCGCATCCAGCGCCCACGATGCCCATCCGTGCTTCAAGGCGTATAGCCCAAGCGTGTTGCACATGTCCGCCCTGCGACACTTCTGGCTGCATCCGGGCGCGCGTTCTGCTTTGCCGACGTGTACCACGCTTCTACTACCGTCTAGCAAATGCGTAATGACGGTGGTGTCACGGCGTGCAAGCTCTTCCTGTAGACGCATGAGAAACTCGCTCGAGACGTGCCGTGGTATCCCCCATTTACAGCCAGCGCAGTCCGTCTCTCCCGCCCAGCAAATACTCATCTTGCATGTCGCGCACAAGCTCATTGTCTCATCAACATGTTCCATGTCTTCCTCTCCTTTATACACGTGTACAGCTTCCCAAGTGTCACAACTGGCAGCTGTGGATTGCACTTGATCGTTGTGACAGGGGCTTCTGATGAGGGTTTGTGAATAGTTTCAAATTCAATCTAATAGTTGTCTTTGGATTTGATTTGAAAGGTCTTTGGGGAAGTGAATCCAGGGTCCCGACCTGTAGCTCGTATATATACATGATAACCCAGGCGTGTGTAGCCTGACCTGGGCGACTGCGGCATCTAGGTCATAGCTGCTTTGGGCTTTCACCCTGGCAGCCCTGACCTGACCTTGCGGCCTCTTTGTGGTCCGCAACCATGCATCCGTGCTGATGCAGCCGGTTCGCCCACACATTGTGCTACCTTTTCATATGACAGTCGCTGGTTGAATCCATCCGTCCAAGGAGTTGCCAACGTGCCTTGTATACATCTTGTCACCACATTGGGGGCGAGGCAAAATTCATGGGGGGCACTGGTGGGCAAATCCTCATTGCGACTGGCTGCAACCCTTCGAGTGCTGGTGTGATTGATGCCACGGAGGAACTTGAGGGGGCCGCGTGTGCCGACGAGTTTGATACTTTCCTCTCATTTATTGGCTATTGCCAGACTGTTTCTAACGGCAAAGCTTGGAGGGTCACATACTTCTCTGTTCGCACCCATGTGGCCGGCGAATAAATTGTGACAAGGGCTAGATTCTAGGGCTTGGAGTGGTAACAACTCAATTCAAGAATAGTCTCGAAGGATGTCCAAAGGCCCTTGGTTCCTCGTCTACGAGAGGAGGGCAAAAGCTAGATTATACTCCGTACCCCGTACTCCGTATCCATGAAAGAAACCGAGATGCCCGAGGCCTCCAGCTGGTCCGTGATGGTTTCGTGTAACCGTGTTGGGCTTTTGTTGAGTCCCAACCGTGCAACATGAACGGCACAATCATCCAAGCCTCGAGTCCTCCTAGCACCTGCACTTTCACAAATTTCCGTCATGATTCATGACGTGCTTCGCCTCTGGGTCGTTGTCATCATTCTGGCCTCATGGCTTGGCCTCAAATCCGCATATCGCTTGTCCTTTCACCGCTTGGCGGGGTTTCCTGGCCCAAAATTAACAGCATGCACACAATTGTACGAGTTCTTCTACAATGTGGTCCGACCGGGTAAATTCCTGTTCAAAATCGAAGAGATGCACCAGCAATACGGTCAGATATACACCTCCGACAGCTTTCAAAGCGGCTACGCACTAAACACAGCTTGCAGGCCCCCTTGTTCGCATCAACCCCCGAGAAGTTCATGTTCGCGATCCGTCCTTCTACGATGAAATCTATGCTTCGAGTCGCCGAACGCGCGACAAAGACGCCAAGTTTGTGCCGACGTACGCCCTGCCCGACTCCATGGTGGCCACTGTAGGTCATGAACTGCACCGCTTTCGACGAAGTATTTTGAAGGACTTCTTTTCTAGGCGCGCTGTCCTGGAACTCTCTGAAGTAATCAATGAGCGCGTGCAAAAACTTATGCAGCAATTCGGGGAATTTGAGAGGAATCAATCTGTGCTATGCCTGGATGATGCTTTCGCAGCACTACCCTCGGATATCATCACGTCTTACTGCTGCGGAAAGCACGGGGGATTTTTAGAGGATCAACATTTTCGCAATGATATTCGTCGTGCTACGGCGGATGCCATGGAGTTTGGTCATATTTGCCGGTTCTGCCCTTGGCTGGTGTATGCACTGCGCCTCCTTCCACCTCGAGTCATCTCAAACCTCATGCCAGGAAAAGCAGCAGTATTCAAGTTCCTAGCCTCACTCTTGGACGACCCAACCACGGCCACGCATGAAAAAACGCCACCTATTCCAACGACGGGCTCCCAGCCGGCAAGGAAAACCATGGTCGCCGCCTTGGCGGATCCTAGTATTCCACTGAGGGAACGAAGCTATAACCGACTGCAGGATGAAACGTTTGCCATTATTGCCGCTGGTACAGAAACGACGGCTCGTGTTTTGACAGTTGCCGCTTACCATCTCGCCCGGGATGGCGACCTTCGAGATACGCTGCGGGCGGAATTGAAGAGGGTGATGCCCACGCTGGATGCGAGGCCGACCTGGCCTGAGCTTGAAAAGTTGCCCTACCTGGTAGGTAATCGCATGACTGAGATGGTGACGTTGCTCATCGCGGATGACTAGAGCGGCGTTGTTGATGAGTCCTTACGCCTGTCGTACGGATTGACAGGACGGTTCCCCGTGTTGCGCCAACAGAGGCTCTAAAATACAAATATTATGTTATTCCCTCTGGGGTGCGTGATAAAAGCCCTTGTCTTGAGTTTGTGTCTTTCAACTGCTAATATACGTGTTGATTAAGACTCCAATCAGCAGCTCTAGCTATATCCTCCACCGGGACGCTTCTATTTTTCCCGACCCGGAACGATTCGACCCCGAAAGATGGGTCAAGGCGGCACAGAATGGAGATAATTTGAAGAAGTACCTGACTTCATTTACGAGGGGGAGCAGAGCCTGTATCGGCATAAAGTAATTGTCCTGGACGTATTAACAACTTTGGCTCTGACTTGGTAGCTAACTAGAAATTTAGCCTCGCGTACATGGAGTTATTCTTGACCGTTGCTCATCTTCTTCGTCGTTTTGACATGGAACTCTACGACACGGAGGAGGAAGATGTCCGAATTGTGCGAGATATGAATATGGGATATACGAGACGGGGTAATCTGAGAGTTTACGCCAAATTGTCATTAGCGGAAGGGTAGGGGTGGCTTGCCCTGCAGTTAGCCGGCTGTGGGATATTCTTGGATCTGCTGTTGAGGAAATGCCTGCCAGGTATTTTGAAGAATTTTGCCCTGGCATTGGGATTAGAGGCAAGTTTATTCTTTCCAAGTGTGCCCTCTTTTTAAGCTGTTTGGTCACAATCGTCGGTGGACTTAAAGACGATGACGAGCATGGCAAAACCACTGTGCTCACCTTGAGTTTCCAGATTCTGCATGAACTACCCTTTAAAGGAGATAGCGGCATCGAGTCTAACCGAACAGAACGACTTGTACAATCTAGTGTCAAATAATACTGTAGCGGATGCTACAGTATTCAATACAACCATACATGCTAAGATATAAACGTAAAACCAAAAAGACACCCAAAAAATGCCTTAAAATACAGCATTGTAAAGCACTTTACATGAGTTTGAGTCATTTCATGAAAATCGGTGCAAAATCGGACACTACAGCTAGAGGAGCAAAGGCAATACCTACAACATTCAGTGTCGAAATACGAGTCTCTTCAGCCACTATCCCGATATTTTGACACCCCTCGGATTTCACGGCTTCCCTTCCCCAGAAACCTGGAAATCACCCCATTCAACTGTCGCCATGCGATGCTGGTATTCAACAACAGTGCCATACCAGTTATTCGCGACGAGACCATCGGCATTCTTATACCAACCGTCGCAGCTCAGATCAGCAATCGCGCTCTTCGCCAAATGATCTCGGATTTCACGATTATAAGCACCCATGCGTGCGACAAGAGGAACAACTGTGAAATGACCACCACTGGCTTGTGCTTTGATGACGGGGGCGATCAGGGTGTGAATATATCGAGACTGGGCTTCAATCATGAGGATAATCGAGTTGTGGCCCAGTTCGCGTTGGGCCCGCGCATCATGGCGAAATTCGGGAGATGCTCAACCGTCATGCCCAGGTAGGCGCGAGCGTCGCCATGCTCATGATACCCGCGGGAGATATGTTGTCAATGGGGTTCGTCTGAAGCGTGCCGTTGTCCCGACGTATGGCGGGAAAGCAATCGTCCGAGATGATGACGCACTTGCAACCGGGTGCGTAGTCGGGAGTCGGTTTCCTCTTCAAGACCGCATTGTCTGGAATTTGCTTGTTCATCATATCGAGACACAGCTGCCTTGCCAAGTCATTCACCAGGGAGGCGACGTCAACTATGGACTCATACAGGGTCTCGTGGATATCCATCAGCGAGGCACGGTACCGTCTGCGAACACCAGGAGCATGTCTGTATATCGCTCGCATTGTTTCGCTAATAGGTTTGTCGGCTCATGGAATGATCCAGTTTGGCGATCGCTGGAAGACGGTGACGCCCTGGGCAATGTCGACGATTTCTGGTAGGATCTGCGCTGCGGTCGCGCCGTTGCCAATCATGGCTACCTTTTTGCCCTTCAAGTCATAATTTGGACCCCACCGCGCCGAGTACATCATTCTGTCCTGTAAGGAATCTAGTCCGGTGATGTTTGGATATCGTGGTACGTTCAGCTGGCCGACTGCCGATATGGCAAAGTCGCTTGTGACGGTGTAGGGCGCCCCATATTCGGTAGCTTTCCTGCCGAGGACTGTGAGAGACGTCTCCCACTGGTGAGTAGAGTCATTCCACGTTGTGGCTTCCATTTCAGTGTTGAAGCGGATGTATTGGTAGAGACCCCGTTTCGGGCTACCCGAATCAGGTACGAGAGGATTTCTTCCTGTCCTGGGTATTCTCGAGTCCAGTCTCGTATTGCATACGTATGTATGAAGTGCTTTGTAAATCTCTGCATTACATGGTGCGCTCTACAGAGTAGGCAGTCATGAGTCATGACGCCACACCCAGTTGCCTAAATGCTGTGGACAGTTGTTGGGCGAACAATGGCCAAACTCTCTGCTGCATGGGACAAACGGTGCCTGAATAGGAGGGTGTCACACGGCCAAGGCCTGGACAAAGGCATCGGCCAACACCGGTGACACAACAACAAAGAAAAGCATCGGGAGAACCCGGACTCGGACCTGAAGCAAGGGCCGCCTCAGGTACTAGCCCTCACCAAGTTCTTATATTTATATAGAGCTCTGGTCCTTCAAAACCTTGAGGAAAACCAGGGACCTTTGATACCTTGACGTTGCTTATGATATCGATATCCAACTACTGTTCCAAGCTCAGTTGCCCTGCCCTTGTCACTGAAGATTCTCTTTGTTGAGGCCGTGGCAGATGGTAGCTGCGTTTTTTCACTGGGAGAGCAGGGGAGACAGAGACCTGCAGAACAAAGCCGGTGGGCGATGAACTGAGTCTGCGCCTGCCGCAACAACAGTACTATTACGACATGATCTCAGACTATCGGTGAACAACATGGACGAGCTAGGGGTTCGGGTGTCCTGGGACAATTCACCCGTCCTCTGTTGGTTCACTGAAACTTGTGCAGACTTGTATTCATAGACATATCGATGCAACTTGTGCACCTGCAGTGACAACGGTAAGCTCCAGGACTTGTGCTGTTCATGCGCTGTCCATGTCCATCGATTCTCTATAAAACACCGCCTCCCCCTCGCCTCCTAAAATTCAGACCTGCCCCTTCCAGCATCTCGACAGGTGCCCCCATAGCAGCAATGGCAGCTCATTCAAAGCACGACATGCTGCGCATGATTGCTGCGAGGGATGTTAGCCCGCTGCCCCTTCGGGTGTGTGGCGATCAGCTTCAAATGTTATATCATAAGATATTTCAGCCTCCGGATCCGCAACAAGGCTTCGACACAAAGCTTGGTCTTATGTGGAATTTAAGAAAATTTTCGTATTTTCTTTACAACAAGATGCCAAATTCCCTTTGCCAAGGCTGGAATCTCCTCGACAAATTGCTGCCGAAATTTATAATTACGGAAGATATATTGAAAGCTTGCGCAGAGAGCCTGAGCAACCTAATCATGACAAAAGACGAACATAGGAGACTTCGGGATGTCCCTTACCTCCTGTGGGCGAAACAAAAATTCGATGACAGATGTAAGGGTGCCACGCTCCGTTTGCAAACTCCCCTCATCCTCGCCATAGACCAGCGGAACCAGAGACTACAGTCCATCAGAGAGCACCGGTCGCAGCAGGAATTACCTGCCGAAGAGGAGGCGGCCGTACCAAACGCGCCTGTTCGGTTTTGGAATTGGTGCGGCACCACGGGGTCCAACAGTATGGACTTTCTCGATGTGGTAAACATCGATGATATACGAAACTTTCCTCCTCCCCCCGACAAGATCGAATCAACCGACCGGCCTTGCGATTATTGTGCGAAGCCACTAGCGCAGTCGGAGCTGGAGCGAAAAAATTGGATGTAAGTTGTTTTACCAAGTCAAAATTTCCATCGCCACGGCGCTAACAGAGATAGTCGTCATGTTTTCGACGACGTCCGACCCTTCACCTGCCTTTTCATCGAATGCGACAAACAAAATACCTTTTTCAAAGATTTCGAGTCGTGGGACAAGCACATGAAGACGAGCCATTCGAAGAGGTGGCCGCGGGAACTCTGTCCGCCCGTCCCCTGGGAATGCTGCGCGTGTGGCTCTTTGGCGAGTTTTAAATACGAGGCTGGTTTTCAGAAACATCTCGGAGATAGACACGGCATGTGTGGCAACGGCATGTGTGGCACGTGTATGGATGATATTTTCGAAAGGAGTAAAGCCAGGAGAGATGAAATCCGGAAAAATTTGCACATGTGCCCCTTTTGCTATGGGTGCGTGACACTGACTGCTGATGAGCGCGCCGCTCTCTCCGAGTCAGGGCGCTCCGAATGTTCTGTGCTGTGCGAAAAGCTGAAAAGACACATTGCTTTGGCGCTGTGTAATCTGGCATTTGACACGACTTTGACGATTCAGGATGAGGATGGGACTGAGACGTCTGATAAGGAGGATGAGTGGGTCGATGAGGAAGATGAGACGAGCGATGAGGAAGACTTGACTCTCCTGGTCCTATGATAGCCAGCATCGAGATCTTTTACAAGATCTCGAGGCCACGCAGATGCCCAAGATTGCGCTCGCTGTATGAGGCACCCCGGCCAAATGCATCAGAATTAGTGGTCAAAACGCTTGATCCGCGATGATTTGAGCCCCTGTTTTGGAAATAAGCCATGTTGGCACCATTTTTTCTTTCTTTACAAAAGGACTATTATACAACATTCAACACTAAAACTATTATGCGAATTCAACCTCGCATTACAACTAATATACGAATTCAACTTTGCATTACAACTCGTTGTTTCTGGTCACAATACTGCAGTCTACAACTCGTCACTAGACAAAGCACCCAACCAGTCAGGCTGGACGCTATATTGTCTCTGCTTTTACGAATTATACTATCAGACGATTTACTTCTTGGAAAGCAAGTTCTTGATATATTCGTGGAAGCTGTCCGTTTGCCCGTTGGCATAGCGTGCGTTTTCTCGCAGCAGTAGCTAGTATCAATAAAAGTTATCTCCTTTTCGTCCTTCAAAAGTCATATTTGTGTCTAACTACTTCGTGATAATAGAAAACTAGACAGATTTTTCATAACATCTTTGGTTAAAACTAGGACTTAAAAGCGCAAACAGGTACCTCCCCTCTTTACTCCATGTGGTGCAGACCAAGGTCAACCCCACACACGGCGGCAGCTCGGATGAACTAGCGCTAGCGGCACTAGCGGCGGGACGGGCCGAATACCGGCATGGATCTGGAGTCTCGTCGTAGTCAGCAATCGCACTTGTTCCAATCACAGAACTACCACGGCAACCATTCCACTGGCCTACAAATGCAGTGGAATCATGGACAGAACGAATAACATTTTGATACGGTGTGGTCCGTGTAGCACCCTACAAGTTACTGCCGTGTTACCGTTGGGCTGACAACACCCGAGATACGACATTGGACGCCTGACCTACCTCTCCTTCACCGTTCGCCATGCGGGGACAGAGAGCACGTCTCATACGTCAGTATGTTGCCACGTATTATCCCTCCTGTGGCTAGCTTCTCGCCGTTTGGGCACCCGCTACGGTCTCTTGCCCCCTTAACCTGCCCTCACCCCCCGAGATAAAGCACCTGGGGGCTTTTCTCCTCGCCACAAGTTGTGGATCCCCTTAGCTTGTCAGCTCACAACGAAACAGACGACCGTGAAGTCTCCTCGCTACCCATCAGCCAGAAACCAAATCACTGGACAAGCGAGGCCTCTGTGACGGCACACGATTCTGAAATGTCCTTCTTTCCGTTCTCGGGCCTCAACCCAGGCTTCACGCGACCCCAAGGTGCCGCTAGGGCCGTGTTTCCTATCTACTTCGTGCTTCCCGTTGTGCTCATATTCTCGTTCTATTATCTACGTCGGTCGCAGCCCGAAAGCGGTAAACTCGAACCAGAAAATGAGAGAAGTGATGACTCAGGAAGAACTAAAAAAACTTCTGGCGACGGGAGTTCGGTGAATTTGACGCCATCAGAAGGCGTTTCGCCAGACGAAGGCAACGCATCAAACAAGACTCTTCCACCAGCGGCTGAGCCAGGGTTGCAAATATTGCACGACTCTGATGCGCCCAAAATTGAGTATGTCAACGCTGACAAGTGATGGAAAATAAGACCTGACCATTATGCTTAGTATCGTGGCTGTTCATGGGCTCGGCGCGAATCCAGACTACGCCTGGGTCTGGCTGCCCAAGAACAACCCTCCTAACTGTCGCGGATACCCCGACAAACCTTTTAACTGGCTTCAAGAACTACTTCCAGCCAAGTTACCCAAACCATGTCGAGTTCTAGCCTTCAATTACGACTCGAGATGGTTCTGGGACGCCCCTCAACAGAAACTCTCAAGCATTTCGGATACCCTACTAGATAGTCTTCGGAACGACCGCGAGCAGAACAAGGTTGGTCCCATGTCGCGATTTATAGCCTACATAGTATGCTGATGGTTTTCTGTTGCAGGCTATTGACAGGCCCTTGATCTTTATCGGACATAGTTTTGGGGGCAATGTTATCGAACAAGTACGTAACCGTCGCAAATAGTCCTTAGTGTGAGGGTCCACGCGAGGGGTCTACGATGAAGGCACAAGAGCTCGTAATGCGACTTATCAAGTGCGTGTTACAAGAGGCCTGGTAGAAGTGAAAAGCTTGATCAAGATCGGAGAGGAAAAGAGCTAGCTCAAACGAGCCGGCGTAGCAACAATGATATGGTGCCTCACACGTGACTGTGTGTGTACTGACATTTACTCACTCAACCATTTTAACCGTTGGCAGGCCATCGTATCCGCATCCAGGCATTGCTCTCCGCATCTTTCAATCTCCGCATCGACTATCGGGGTGGTCTTTCTTGGCACGCCTCATCGAGGGAGCCCAGCCGCAGCATGGGGAGCAATAATTGCATCTCTTATGCCGTCCGGGTTGGCTCCTGAAGATAGGCTACTAAAGGCCTTGGAGAAGCATTCAGATTCCCTCGGGGATCGTCTACGCGACTTCTCTGGCTGGCTCTTTTCCGAATCGGTGCCAGTAGTTTGCGCCTTTGAACAGCTCGTGACAGACTACTCGTCCCGGTTACCTCTTCTGGGGACCTTTGTTCCCTCGAGAACATTGGTTTGTGTTCTATTCCTTGTCGTTGCGCAGCGCAAGATCTAACGCCCCAACAGGTTGTTGACGAAGACAGCGCCTGCATTGACGGCCATCACAAAATATCGCTACACACCGATCACCTCAAGATTAACAAGTACTACGGTGCTGACGACCCTTCTTTCAAGTTGATCTACCCGGAGATACAACGTATGGTTGAAGACATTGACGAGGGACTTCGTCGCCGTCGAAACCCAAAGCCTATCCCAACGGACGAAACGTCAACATCCGGAAGACTCCAGAGATGCCTCCAACTGATGAGAGTTAAAAATCCGGAGGATGTCTTATCAAAGATTGAGGCTCAAAGGGGTCAACGAGTAGAGAACACTTGCGAGTGGATTCTAAAACGCGAGGAATTCTCTGCTTGGGCTGTCGGTACGAATTCGCACCTTCTTCGCCTTATCGGCTCCCCAGGCATCGGAAAGACGATGATGGCAACTTTTCTCGTTAGATTCTTGAAATGCAAGATTGAAAAAAATCCCTCAGACACGTTTATCCACTTTTTCTGTGATGATAAGGATCAGGAGAGAAAGACACCAACCGCGATACTGCGAAGCCTTGTATGGCAGCTTCTACTACAAAGAAACGAATTATTTAAGCATGTCCAGCCAGATTTCGAGAAGTACGAAGAAAGCCGTGCCTTTGAGGGTTTATTTAATGATGTCTATGCTCTCCGGCGGATTCTGAAAAACATGCTTCTGGATGAGCGTTCAGACAAAGTATTCGTCCTCATTGATGCTCTCGACGAGTGTGAAGCTTCGACTCGTAAGGATTTACTCTCCTGGATCCAAATAATTTCTCAACTATCTCCTGCCGGGGACTCGGGCAAAATCAAGATCCTGCTTACCTGCAGGCCCCATATAAATGATATCGAGGATGAGCTACAGGATGTTGGAACTCAATTACAAATGGGCTCTGCCGAGATAAATCATGATCTGGCCAAATATATCGACGACCGAGTTGATGAGCTCGCAAAGAGAAAGCACTACCCACCAAGCCTAAAGCAAAAGGTTATTGAAACGCTGAAACGAGAATCTGGAAATACCTTTCTCTGGGTATCCCTCATGATTGCAGAGCTGAAAACAACGCTCAAGCATAAAGTGGAGGAGAAGTTGAACCGCCTTCCTCACGGGCTTGACAACACGTACTCTACCATTCTGGACAGAATTCCCGACGAAAACAGAGAGAATGCCCAGTTCATCTTGCGTTTCATGGTAGGGGCCTTGCGTCCATTGGAGAAGACTGAGCTCCAAGCCGCATATGCAACTTGGAAGACGAATTCAATATTGAGTGGCGAGGATATGCAGCTTTATTCTGACATTCTCTCAGTTTGCAGCTCGATCCTCCATGCAGGCAGTGAGGATAATGCAACTCTCAACTTCTGTCATCAGTCTGTGAAAGACTTCCTTCTCGATGAGCACACAGCCAATACGTGGTACCATACCAGCGTGGACGAGGCGAATATCCTTATTTTTAAGGTTTGCTGGATGTATTTGAGCGCAGAGGAGTTTAGCCAGAGTGATATAAACTTTTGTTCTTGGTGGTCAGACTGGGAAATTGACTTTGACGAAACTAATAAACCAGAAGACCAAAGAGGTGGATTTCCACTTTCTTTATTCCTGGAATATTCATACGACGCATGGAAGGAACATGCGATAAGAAGTCATAAAGCCTTGCTTCGAGACTGGCACAACTCAGCCATCGATGTCACTAAAGCACCCGAATTAAGAGACGCTTTGTTATATTGGACAGCTCGACAAGGATACGAAGACATGATCAATTTTTTACTCGACCAGGGCGCTAATATCGACGCGAGGCATGAACTCTGGGCCACGCCGCTGTTAAAGGCCGCTGAGAATGGGCACGAAATTATAGCTGAACTGCTACTTGATCGCGGCGCTAATATTGAGGCTACGGATATATCTTATAACGGGCCGCTATCAACAGCCGCTAAGCATGGGCACGAAACTGTAGTTAAACTCCTGCTTGATCGCGGCGCTAATATTGAGGCTAGGAATACAAGTCAGGTTACACCGCTATTAAACGCAGCTATGAAGGGGCATGAATCTATAGTGAAGCTTCTACTTGACCGTGGGGCTAATATCAAGGTTACAAATGAGTGTGGTGACACGCCGCTATCACGCGCCACTCTATTTGAGAGCGAGTCTGCAGTCAAGCTGCTACTTGATAATGGCGCTAATATTGAGGCCAGGGATAGGTCAAAGGATACACCGTTACTGCTAGCTTCCGTGAAAGGGAGCGAATCTATCGTTAAGCTGCTACTTGACCGCGGGGCTAATATTGAGGTCAAGAATAAAATAGGTCGCACGCCGCTGTCAATAGCTGTTAACAGAGGGCATATAGCTGTGGTTAAGCTGCTACTTGATAACGGCGCCGATATCGAGACCAGGGACGATATGCATAGTACGCCGTTACTGCTAGCTACCGAGAAAAACCATGTATCTACGGTGAAGCTATTACTTGACCGTGGGGCCGATATTAAGGTTAAGAATAGGGAGAATCAGAAGCCGCTAGGAATAGCTGCTGCCGGAGGGCACGAGGGTATGGTTAAGCTGCTTGAACAATATTTACAATAATAGTAAGGCTTACCAAATCCTTCTTCTATTTTTTTATGTAGTAATATAATTAGATATCCTATAAGGAGCAACGGGTCTTTAATACCTTGATATCTTCTCCCCGAGGTCCTTCCTAGCTGGTAGACAGTAATTGTGAGTGATATTTCCTCTCACCCATATCAAGATAACTTGGGCTCCTACCCAACTCCATATCCCAAACATAACTTGATTTTGTCTCTAGACTTCATCCTAGTTTCAGTACCTTGATGGCAAGCGGGTAGTACGTGTCCCAGCTTTTTATAGTTATGGCTAGTTGACTTCTACACTTGCACCCTTCGCACCAGACGTCCAATCGGATTCAAATCTGACCACACAGGTTGTACCGAGGAATACATGTGAGCCGACGAGGACTGAAGAGCAAGTTAATGTTGTGACGTTTGTATCATGGTATCTTCAAAGCAGTGCGAGGCTGGGCGAATAAGTATTGCAGTCACAGGGAGACCTATCCGCCACGAGCGAAGCGTTTATATTTGCTAGCCGTCCGGGTGATAACTCTACGAAACTTCTGCCGTCCGTTTTGTATAGATGCATAACTCAATCTCGCATTTGAAGCACTCTTGTGCAATGGCCTTTCCGTCCGAGTTCCTCTCTACATTAGGATTGAGATTTGTGCCTGAGTTTTCTATACCTGGAGTGGTCTTTTCCGCATTCTTGAAATGGCTTCTCTAACCCTAACTCTATACCTGGAGTGGTCTTTTCCGCATTCTTGAAATGGCTTCTCTAACCCTAACTCTATACCTGGAGTGGTCTTTTCCGCATTCTTGAAATGGCTTCTCATGTTTTCTCATCTGCATTGTCAATCTCTTGACCTTAAGATGTTATGAGATATTTCCTCACAAAGTGCGCATTCAACCGCACCGCCCTGCGAAGCCATGACAGCGTAGATGGCTACATCCTTGGGATAAATGCAAGTGTCTGTTGATTGCAGGTCAAAATACGCAATCGGACATGCAGTAGTGCACGTTTACCAGCCACACACTTGTTTTCGCTGCATACATCTGTGGCTAGTACTTTATAAGTAGGAATCTGTGAATAACAATCTGTAGGCAGTTATTTGAGCGTAGTAATGTGTAAGTAATAGTCTGTAATTAGTTCTCTGTGTGCAGTAATTTATAAGCAGCGGTCTGCGAGAAGATAAACGGCAGTCTATGAGTCGCAGTTTGTGGGTAGTATTTCGTAGGCAGCAGTCTGCTTATGTGAAATACGTACATAGCGATATTCAACCCTTACACTGCGAGGAGTCATCTCCACTTTTTGTAGGTGTAGGTGGCAGAACCTTGTAATCAATTCGTCGAGTTAAAATGTCTTGATAGCTGCTCAACATACTTAAGGTTTTTGTAGTTGCAACGCTGCAATCTAAGCTTTAAGCCACCAGACTTGTCTCGGATCTGCCTTTCCTGATGAAAGGCTATATTCGCCAGGTACCAAGCGTAGTAACTTGGTCAAGCGCACTTGAACTATATAATAGGCGGCAACGGTAAACAGAGTATAAAATATCTTAAGCTTCCGATATGTAATAAAGAAAAGTAGATAGTCGTGAATATACAAGGATTCCAACCGCGTAATATAACAAATATATGTTATATTATGTGGCTATTATTTAGTCGAAGCTTAAGATAGCAAGCTTTAAGTTTCTTCTTATATAGGCAGCTTCTAATCTCTTTTTAGCAAGTGTTACATTCCACCTCTAAATCTAAATGACAAATATCCACCCTAGACTGTGATAGCAGCAGTCCCACCAAAAATAATTAACTTTCTAGTAAGGAAAAATTACTATTTATTAAGTTATAAAAGTAAAAAGTAAATATAAATTTTACTTTATTTTAACTTTAGTTATTAAAGTTTCTTATTAAATATTATTATTTCTATATTTTAAATAATCCTAGCCATCTGTTAATAAAAAAGTATAAGTAGGAGGGCTGAGAATAACACGAGATTATCTACTCTCTGCAAAATAGTCTATTCTGCTAATCAACACATTCTCTGCTATTAATTAAACTCCCGCTACTATGAAGTATTCTATGCTCTCTGTTGCAGCCTTCTTTGCTGCGTTCTCTCTGGGTTCCCCAGCATACTACTGGAGAATGCAACAAGCCGAGGCTGGTGAAGCTATTATAACGAATGACATGAACAACCCCGTTGATGTGGTTAAAGTACCAGGAGGGCCAGAAATCCAGATTGCGCAGACAGGAGGAGAAGCTAGATTTCCTGGAGGGCCAAGCGCGGACCTGAAAATCAACGGACAGGTAGAGGTCAGCTATGTTGGTGGTAATGAAGACACGTTTAATTACCAGGTAAAGCCGATCGCTCCCGGCTTTGACGGATGTGTCCAGGTTTCAACCGTTGGATGCAACCAAGACTATCTAGAGTGGTGCTCTCAACCAGATCCATCGACTATCATTACATGTCCCGCGGGCACAGAACTCACGATCAGGGTGACTGAATTGCCTAATTTATGGAACTTCTACAATTATTAGGCTGCGTGGTGTTGAAGGGTGCGAATAACGGTAATCACGGCAGCTCAACCTGCCGGCACCACAAAAATTACCAGGAAGGTTTTACGGTAGTCTTGTTTTAGAGCAGGATATTTGATATAGAACTCTAAATAACAACCTCGAGTTTCAAAGTTCTGTGTATTCTTTTTTTATATTCAGTAATTTGGACGGCAAATCTTGGCGGCGATACTCTTCTTGAGCTTCGCATTCAAATGCAGACGAAGGGATCTCTAGCCAGGAATGGCCACAGTCCGCCTAATCGAATGGGGGGAAATCCAGCCTGACTCCGCCATACGTAACAGAGCATGCCAGAGCGGTACCGGGGTGGTATCCGAAAAGTTGACCCCAAGGACCACTTCATGACGGGGACAGGGTTCGTAAAGCTCGTCAATATCGTCCATGATAAGACGACGCCTTGGGTGGCTTCGAGCTTAAGGACGTCTTCCAGCACCAGATCTTGGATCCCAACTTGACGGCTTCTCGAGTGCCTGTATGTGGGATAGTGCAGCTGCGACATGTTTACCATGCTTGGCTTCCAAATCCAGAGCGGACATTGCACTGGGGGCATTAAGTGGACTGATCCATGCCAACCTACGGCGGCGAGCGAGAGCCTACTTGACAGTCTCGCTGAAAAACTAGGCCAAGTTAGACAATAGTTTCTCAAGGCACATGCATCTAGCGGGCTCGCGAAGACTCGTGGCAAAAAGGCCGAGAAGAAAGACAAATTCGGAGAGGCCATCAGCTAGATTGCTGCTTGCAATTCCAGCTAGATATCTTGCAACTCCAGTAAGGAGCATTCGAAATTATATCGAGATACTACATAAATGCATTGGAAGGTACTCAGTTAGATATAAAAAGGTTAGGGACTGGTTGTATAGTGGCTAGGTTTAAATTGGTACGTCCTGAATCGAAACTATCAAGTAGTAGCTTGCATACTTTAGTTATAACTGCTGGTAAATTAAGAACCTACTAAACCTATACCTGTTCGACCATTACTATTACCTGTGATAAATGGAAAATGTCGCCTCATCTAGCACATACGGCTATAGCGACTAGTAAAGATGATGATCCAGCCTAGCTAGTCAAGGTAGTGTAATTGCCCGTGAGCAGAATGTCGACGATAATGAATGACAATGGTTCAAAAAAAGAAAAAAAAACAGTACAAGGATCCCGCCAAAAGAAGGTTAGTAAGTTGGCATTTACGTGCAATCAAGAAGAAGATCCAATTTCCCATACTTCACACAACAGATGCACCAGAGTTGCACTGTCTCGGCTCCGCAGCAGCCTCAAACGACCCGTCTGGTAATCGCCGCAATCCCTGCGCCGAGGTCTGCGCTGGTCCTCTGTTAATACCATGACCCAATGACTCCAAGAAGCCAATTACGCCATTATCATACCCCCCCTCAATCGTCACGTTCCTCGCCTGCCCCAGTTGAGCATGGAGTCTTGGTTCGCTCAATGCCTCCAAAGTAGTCATCTTGCCATCCAACAAGTGGATAGCATTCTGTATATTAGCTGTGGTAATCCGAATTCCTCCAGCGCACCCAATCGAGAAGAGCAACTTATTATCACTCGTCTCGGCGATAATCGGCGAGATGGCTGATAATGGTCGCTTCCTACCCTGAATAAAGTTGGCCTTATTAGAGTCAAGGCCAAATCGATTCCGCTCGCTAGGAATGTCAAAGTCGTTCATCTCGTTATTCATAATAACACCAGTCTCTGGAACCATAACATGTGAGCCAAAGTACAAGTTAATCGTGGTTGTCATAGATACAGACATGCCACTAGCATCCGCTGTTACGATATGCGATGTTCCAGGTGTCTTTAGTAACTCGGTACCATCGACATCATAATAATCGTCGTCGAATGTTTGATTGTCGGAGATCTTTGAGCGTATCCAGTCACCAGTCTCTTTTGATATCATGTTCTTAGTGTACTGGCCAAGAGCCACGAATGAAGGGTCGCCAAGTCCTTTCCGCTGGCCGTATCCCCATTTGATCGCTTCTATCATTCGGTGTGTCGATGAATTTGATTGTCGAGGCTCTTCAAAATCAAGAAAACCACCTAGTATATTCAAGGCACTAAGCGCCACAATACCACTAGACGGGGCATTTATACTTGTGAGGCTGTAGTCCCGATATTGTATTTTCACGGGATCCGGGAGAGTAAAGTTATATCTTTCGAGGTCTTCCAATTCCATACAGCCGTTACGGCTTTTCAAAGCCCGGATAGTCGCTTCAGCAATATGTCCAGTATAAAAGGCTTTGGGGCCTCGATTCGCAATATCTTCTAGTGTATTCGCGTATCGCTCTCGAGTCATTATCTCGCCGTATCTCACACGATGCCCTTGCGGAGCAAAGTCTATAGCCCATTCCTTTTCATCTGTGAAGAAGCTATTTGGTGTTGTCAAATCCATGTATGTAACCAAGTCTTTGCTAACGGGAAAGCCATATCGGGCAAGCTTGATAGCAGGAGCCATGACATCGGCCCATCTTAGGTTTCCATAGTTCTCGTGAATGTATTTCAAGCCTTTAACCTCGCCTGGGACAGCGCTATATTGCAAAGCTAGTGTTAGAAGGTTTTCACCCCCAGGAGGTCAAGTTTCTTACCTGGCCAAGCCGCCAATCTTGCTACCATCTATATTGCCTTGATACATATTTTCATGCGCTGCATCCGGTGCTACCTCTCGAAAGTCAACCGACTTGTATGTTCCGTTTGGCAGTCTAACAAGGGCGAAGCCACCGCCACCAATACCGCTGTGGTACATGGCAACAGTCCCGACGCAGAAAACCGTCCCAACGAGAGCGTCTACAGCATTTCCACACCTACCGCCGTGACACTTTTGAAGCAATTGTGTGCCAATTTCGCTGCATATCTTGCTCTCCGAGGCAACTGCACCGTGGTTGGTGCCGTAATTTTGTTCCTCTCCATAAACTATTGTTGGCGTGGAAGCTATTAGTAGAAGATAATTGAGTATTTTTGTGATATTAAAGAGCATTTTGGAAGTCGTAGACTTTATACTTTAATATTACTAGTTAATATATTACAAGATATAATATAAATAATAAAACTAGCAGGAAAAAGAAATATAAATAATAGAAGGCCTTATATTTATATATTAATTCTAATACGATTACTATAGCAGACTACTAAGTATTGTAGACTGGAGTTTTATAGAAAGTATAATTTAGAAACCGTTTATTTAATTTTTATATTTACCTTTTTCTGCTTATATTTTAAAACGTTATTTATATAAAACTTTAAGATAATATACTTTGTAAAATAATATACTTTTATATAAAGTATATATTAGTAAATTTACTTTCATAACGTAAAATAAGCCTCGAAAAATAAATTCTCTAATATTACTTTTATATAAAGTTTATAATAACTTAAAAGAATATTTAAAAAGCTTAGAAATAATAGATATTTTAATTTATAAGGCTATTAGCTTAAATAACTTGAATTAAATACTAACTAGAAAAACAGAAATTATAAGAACTATTCTATTTAATATAAAAACTTTAAGGTATAGCTATTTTATTTTAGGGTCCGAAATATCCGTTAACCTTTTTGTAAAGTGTAAATATATTAAATGCGGGGTTATTTAGGTTAAATATAACGGGATTTAAAGCCAAGATCTGGAGTTACCTACTTTTAAGTTGCCCCCGCAAACTTATTAAAGCTAATATATTAACCTTCTCCTACAACTCCGAGTATTTTATAAGTAAATTTTAAATTGTTATATATTAGACTTCCGTTGGCGCTTTTAGACCAGACTAGAACATTCCAATTAGTATAAGTGGCTTTGCCGGATCTAGAAACAAGTACTTTAATAATAAAGCTATTTAGCTCTACAAATTAAAAAAAGTAATAAGATATAAAGATCTAGTTTATCTCTTAAGATTATCCTCTGAAATCCTGCACAATCCGCACTACCAATTCAAATCCTATCTTACACATCTCAAGCTATTCAATAAAAACAATGCGTCTCTCAAACTTGTTTGTTTTTGCAAGTGCCGCTACAAGCGCCATCGCCCAATACTACGGGGATCAATACGACATCGACAGCGCTCAATACAACATCGACGATACTGAATATGACGGCACTGAGTTCATCTCACGCCCAGCGGTAGGCCATGTCCCACTCCCCCAGAGAATACACATCAATTAGCGTCAGTCGGCTCACACAGCGCAGGCAGTCGTCTATAGCGGCAAGAATAACCAAGCGATCATGCCGACTGGCAGGTGTGTGCGTTTGTTTAATCTCGTGTAAGCGTAGGAAGCTCTCGCAAAGTGACGATGCCCTTTCTTAACAAAGATTGATAGCAAGGGAAAAGTCAGCTCGCTTAAAGTAAACGCGCATTCTTGCACGCTATACAAGTAGGTACCCTGCTTCACACTGGGATCGAATTTATTTTAATATCGCGCAGGGATTCGGAATGCCAGCATCCTTATCCGCGGACGTACCTCCACAACACTCACCCAGTGACTGTATCTGGACCTCCTATCAAGTCTTATTCCATAAAATGCAATTAAATGCTTGACTGGACGTTCGAGAAGGGATGAGGTCCTCACAGGAGGCCAAAGGAGTGACCATGAAAGTCGCGAATGGCGGATTTTCCAGGACGCCTTTGTACAGGTTTTTGCCCCTATGTCCAGAGTATGGTGTATTCTTAGGGTTTTCCCTGTACTATAATGCGAATGCAAAGGCTCTCTTTTGTATTGGGCTGTGATAACATTGACTTGCTGGAATGTGATGCACTTGGGAAGTAACTAAAATTTACTTTTTACATAAAAATTACTTTCTTACTATACATGACAGGAATGTGGAATCCCTCATAGCTGACACTCATTGATCCGGCCCGCCTGTCACGAGGATGTGTTGGCGTGGATGCTCAATGAACCGAAACGAGATCGGATTTACAGAGTCTAATAATCCTCCCAGGCGTTCTCCCCGGTCAGAAACGGGTAACAATACATCATGTACAGTAATTCTTGTCTTTTGGCACAATGTACAGAGTACACAAACCAGATTCCTCCACCGAAACCGTCGCGCGCCTCTCACCGCGCGCATCCTGCCACGCCCCCCGACCCGCGATCATCTGTCACGCCTTTGGCTTCTGAACCCAGGCTATACCCCTTCCCTGTTGTTAGCCATCGATTCCAATATGGCACTTTGGCAAACGCACTCACCACGTAGAATAGCCATGGTAAGCCTTATTCCTCAACGCCTCTCGAACTCTTGCCAGCCACGACTGCACCTCGGCATACTCCCAACCCATAACCCTGGTCAATTTGTACAGAAAGTAGCCTTCCAGCGCCGTCTCGGTAGTTATTCTATTGAACAGCCCTACCTCCTTCCACTTCTTATCAGCCGGCCACTCACCCATGGGCGTCTTGATAGCCTTTTTCTGCACATCGCGGAACCCAGCCTCCTCCATCCACCTGATCCAATTATCGTCGTCGATGACTTCAGTAGTGTGGCCTGACCTCCTGCCCGTCTCGGCAAATAGATTTGCCGCCTCGTTGAAGGCGTTATCCGGCGGCAGGGACCCGTCGTCTGATACGACTCGGAATCCGCATTCTTGGTGCTCCAACCAGCCGCCTGGCTTGAGGCACCGAAAGCATTCACTATATAACCTTGTCCAGTCCTTGAAGCAACCTGCCATGAAGCGGATATGTATGTAATCGAATGTGTTGTCTGGAAACGTCCACTCCTGCGAGGCATCGTCTAGTTCAAAGACGCAGTTTGGCGGCACCCAATTAGGCAGCGTCGGCGAGAGATCAGTCCCAATTACCTCGGCTTCGGGGAACTCGGTTGCGAAATCACTGACTACGAGGTTAGTATCGCGCGTCGGTGTAAACATGCGGCTATCGTGACAAACGCGGTTTTCGTACATGGCCCAAATGCCTGTTCCTGTGCCTACGTCTAGAACCTTTTGCGGGTTGCGTAATGGCGCGAAGAAGAGTTTGTTGTCAAAGGCGAGACATAACTTGTGGTGGCTGGCCATGTGTTACCATGTTGTCTTTTTCAGCACCAGGATCAAAATCCCACCAGAACCGGAACCTACTTTAGATCGAGACCATCGTTCTGCTGCTCGTCGTTCGGTCCCCTGTGCTGCTTGTCAGACGCTTCCTGCTTGGTTGCTTACGGTGCAAGGTGTTTAAGGATCGGTCAATACCAATACTCGACGTCCTTGTAGTTATGGTACGTCCGTCCATGGAGCTTGCGATACTCGAGAATGGTGGAGGCGATGGAGGATGTGGAAGGGGCACTACAACGCGGGTCAATATTTACAATCCCGAAAATAGTTTTTAGATGGAGAAAAGCGCGTACATGTCATCACCTAGAGCTGAATCGCCATCGTCCTGGAAACTGGGGTCCTATGTAGAGGCTCAGACCGGGTAAGTTGAAGGCATCTGTAGCCTGCGAGCTTGGGTCTTACGGCTGCAATTTGGTCAGTGCGGTCGGCGCTTGAAGTGGCCGCAGATGACTGCAAATCATCTTTTTTGTTCATTGCGATGTTGGCGGGTGATGATGTTGACAGGCACACGAAAGGATGGATTGAGGTTTCGCAAGGTTTCGGGAGGGGTTGGGGTGGTCAACGCATTCAAATATTTCCGACAAGCTCCAATCGGCAGATGAATTGCTGACGCCACCGTGCTCAATAGCTTCTCTCTAATTTCCCGACCAGTCAAAACTCTGCTATTTGTGAATCTAGTCAGCCATGGCTACTGCGCCAGGAGTCTGGGCTCCTATCAATTGATCGGACTAGTCCAAGCCGCCATATTGTTCTCATTTACTAAAACTGCAGCTAGCGCGGAGAAAGATATACATGTGGTCAACTGGCAGATTTAAAGTGGATTGTAATCGGCAATTTCAGATCGTTTCTCCTTATGCAGGCACCGTGCTTTACCGCAGTCGGGGGCCGGTAAACACCAAGGAGCGGAAGCCAATATGCGAGTTATCCTCGCCACAGCTTCTCGCCAAAAACTAGCGGATGGTTTGTGTTTGATGCCCTGTAAAATATGGACCGTGTATACAAGTCGTTCGAGGACTGAATAATCTGTCCATAACATGTGTTGCGAACGCTGGGCTAGGCTTGAATTGAGGGTCCTATGTGCGCCCTGTATAGCACTTTATTACCTAGAGGCCTAGGCATTGGTATAGCGTGTCGATACGTAACTATCTTATTTAAATCCATACAGTATCTTTTGATCACAAGGGAAGTCTCATATAATACGATTACTGTAGTGCAAATAGCAAATGTCGCTTGCGCCACCACGTTGAATAAGTGCGGCTGCGCCAAAGACAGAAAGCAGCCGGCAACAAGACAACGAATTGCCGCAAGATATATAAATTAGACTTAGCAAAGTTATTTTTCTTATTTGAAGGCCTTAAAAGGCTCCGGTAAATTCTTCCGATATACGCCAAGCTCGTGTTGTCCTGATTACAAAGGCGTCATGTTGCTAGATGCTGCTAAATTAATAAAGCGACAGTACGTGTTTCTCGTTCCTACGCCCAAGATCTTTACTCGCCGATATCCAAAAACTGCCCAAGTCCATTACCAACACTGAGGCTTCATCTAGTCTTCCTGTCTGTCTTTGGCCCTTGCTGTGGTTGTTCCAAGTCCCTGGAAGTGACACTGTTACTTATAACTGTTCTCTTATCCATGCCCCATGCCAATGGGGACCAATGACAGATACAGCATGAATTCGACGCTGCAGCCTGTTCGCTACACAGTGAATGAAGATATACTAGGAGGAAGCGGGATGCTAAAGGGTCAGAGGTACATGGGCTGTAAGATGCTGCGCATCTACGCAGCGCTTATAGTATTGTGCCTTAGCAAGTGTATTTGATTTTGAGAGAAAAAGACTTGGAGACGAAAGCGAGAGCAATGGATTGCGCAATGATACTCTAATAGACTCAAACTTTTGGTGAACAGGCTCGACGGTACATGTACGCTAATCGAGATCAGCTATTATTTGTCCTAGCCTGCAGATTTACGGCTGCTGCGATGAAAATGTATCCAACCGTATGCAAGGGACTGACTCAAGTAACCTCGACAGGATTAATTTCCTAATACGAGGCTCGGGCATTACCTCTCTTGGAGCGGCGTTACCACAATAGTTTGCAGTGCATCAACATAGCCACGATGACGGCCGACGTGCGCGCATTTTCTCATAAACTGGATACTATGTAACACGAAACTCGGCAAATGCTAGAAAGCATTGGCAACTGTAACTGAAAATGGGTGAGGGAAAGAATTAACCCATGAAAGTGACTGAATGTATTCAGGACTTTGTCTTCCTTGGCTTCTCCTCTCAATCTTTCCATCATTGTCTGCTAAACGGACAAGTCTAACTTTTACAATTATCCAAGTTTTCCGTGACCATGAATCTCCCAGCTCTTCCTGTCGTAATGTCTGTCATGCTTTGATTAGGCTCGTCAGTAAAGTTAGGTCTCCTCGGCCCAGCATTTGAACCCCCAGCAAACTTGGCCACCGAAAAGAACGTCATGTCAACGACCGACAGAGCTGCACGACTGCTCCAAAGCATTCTGTTCACAGGCAAGACATCATATAAGATTGATGACATTCATGCCCGCATATTTTGAGACGCTGGGCATACATCAAGCTATAACTCGATAGTCATTCCCGGATCAAAGTTGTGAGATTTCCCAGACAGCTTTTGTGTCATACTACCCGGCAGCACGTATCCCCGCTGGTTGGCCACCAGTCTGACGCCCTTCCGCACCAACTCTGTCGAGTAATGTGTATGGCCAAATGCCCAGGTATGAATGCCAGCCCAGCCCTCCTGATCAAGGAGATCGGTCGCGAAGGCGGGCGTCCAGGGGTTATTTGAATCTCGAGGCGCAGAAGTGCCCTCCACGCAAGGCGCGTGGTGCGTCGCTATCAGAAGCTGTCTTTTGGCGCTCTGCTCCTTGGCTGCCTGAGCAACCTTCTCGCGAAGCCATGCGGCCTCCTTGGCGTGGACTTCGTTGTGTGTCTGGGCGGACCACCCGTCAATCTTCTTGAAGTCATTGATCTTGGACTCAATGAGAGCGGATGTCTCCTCTGGGATGGCGGACCAGAGCGTGCAGCCGATGATGGTCAGTGCCGAGTCCGGATCGTCCCATCGGGTCTTGTCCAGGAGAATAACGGAATCGGCAAGAGACGGTTCCTCCACAAGACGCCGCGCTTCTTTGAGCCCTGCGTGATAGTCTAGACCATAGAACTCGTGGTTTCCTAACACTAAAAAAATGTTTTGATACCGGGACACCTGCGCCTCGAGAAATTTCAAGTATCCATCGTAGTCGATGAGCCGTCCGATGTCTCCTCCTAAGAGCAGAAATGGTGCAGATGCAGGGAATGTGTAGGACAAGTACTGTTGGCCGACCTCGAGATGCAAGTCCGAGAGAAGTTGGATTCGAGGACGTGATGAGCGGCCTTGGCATTTGAGAATAGTACTCAAAAATGTTTTCATGGTAGGCGGCTGGGAGATGGGGGAGAAGACTCGGAGGTGGTCAACCGGACTTGATTTGATATCTGGCCGCCAGGCGTGGAGTGCTTTCATGTATCAGGCGCTTGAGGTGGCAGGCTATTATTGGCCGGGGGCTTTCTAATAGCTGGTGGGGTTGATCAAGATCATCGATAGTGTCAATCCAGTGTGGCGGCTTTTATCCGCCTGGAACGGAAAATCAGGGGAAATTAAAAAGAATCTCATGTCTCCGTAGTACTCGGGAATTTAGCGTGGCCCACTCGCTTACAAATTAAGTTATTTCTCATCGCTATTCGTCGGACACACTAGCTTTTGGTAGTATCCGTTGATTCTGGGGATGGCCCACCAGACCCATTAACACTACCATGGCAATGAGAGACTTATCCCGGCGTATCGTGTGAACCAAAAGCCAATCGCGTGCTACTCACTTGAGTTACAGAATCGAGAAAAATCAATGTGCAGAGCTGCGTAGGTCGATTATTTGAAGGCCCTTGTTGCCGAAGCACGCTGTGTAGACGGCACTGCTTCGACGTCAGCGATTTAATCACGTGACGCTCGCAATTACGCCTCCTTGCAGCCCATGGGCCCATAGTTCACATGTTCACATCCTTTCATACCATCATAATCCATCATGGTACGCTCATTATTTTCAAAACAACCATCATTTTGGAAAGCATGGCGGCAACTTCTCAGTAGTATTTACCTAAAAATATCTTCTTTAACTCTTTATGTCCTCCGCCTCAATGTATCACACCCGAATGCAAACTCGCCCGAGCTGGTTACGCTACCCGCCGCATCTTTCCCGGGCTCGACTGCCCTCTTTTTCCGTCTACGTCCAGGTATCATTCTGAAAGCTCCTGTCAAGGTAGGCGAAGATGAGATTTTGCGAAAGCGAGACAATGTGGATCATTACTTTAGCATCGAAAAGCAGATCCTTGGCAGGCTAGGTAAACATCCGAGGATTGTCAGGTCCGTTGCTCATTTCCAAAGGGCTTGTTTTGTTTTATTAACCCGATGGCTCTAGACTTCTAGGCTCACGAACCGAATTCCCGACTGGCCTGCTCTTTGCTGAGGCTAGTCACGGAAATCTCCAGTCCTTCTTGCATCAGTATGGCAACGAAATTGCACCGAGCCTTCGCCATAAATGGTTTATTCAGGCAATTGAATGCATCCTGTTTATCCACAGCAAGGGTGTTATACACTGCGATCTAAGACCCGAGAACTTCCTCGTTCATGGCGCATTGCCTCTATCGCTCGACTTGTGCCTATGCGACTTTGGCGGATCAACTTGCGAGGACCTCCAGCTTTCCGGCGGAAAACTTCCCAACTCTGGCTTTTTTAACCCAAACGATGCCTGGGAAGCGACTTATGCCGTTGATATTTTTGCCCTTGGATCTGTCCTGTATACCATTATTACAGGTCGGTGGCCTTTTCGTGCAACTACTGGCGAATTTACTTCCGTGGAGGAAATGGAGGAATACGATGCATATGTAGATGGCCGCTTTGCTGATGGCATTTTCCCGGAAGTTGAGGGAGTTTTCGGCGGTGAGATTATTCGGGGATGTTGGACAGGTCAATTCTCTCGCGCTGCAGATATTATGGCAAGTGTTTCCCAGTTACAAATCAAGTACTAGTATTTGTTTCAACATGTCCAGCACACATGTACCAGAGATGCCGCCAATTTGCAGAGCCGATATCGTAACAACTCAGGGGTTTCTACAATTAAATCGTCCGCACTTGCCCGCCTCTCTCCTCGAGCCCAGAGGCAGTCGCTTAAGCTCATGGTTTGGCTTGGATGGATTATCACATCTCTCAAATTTGACGTCCTCAGTGTGCCGGTCTCCGCACTGATAAATCCTGGTAGCGTAGTATTGAGTGCACATGATGTACTGATGGAGGTTCCTAACAGTGTTGATTGTGAGTGTGTAGCCAATGTGACATCCAACAGGCGGCAAAACACTTACTTTGATCACAGCTTAGCTATAACTGACCTGGAGAGATGAACTGACTTGCGCGAACCATCTTCGTGTGAATGGTCGTTACACTTTATGTGTTATGAAGCGACTAGGCAGCAGCGGGCTCCCACCTCGTTAATGCATGAAACTTCGGTGACGGACGGGTTGTCAATCTGTTGGCCAGTTGAGTGGTAGGTGCTGAATGGCCTCTATCACGCTGTGGATGGAGAAACAGTATCCAACAACCAATTAGAAGTGGTATTTAACCGCCGAAGGTGCTTTAAGCTCGAAGCAAGACGAAATGCTTCCGCGGGCGACCAATCATCTCAAACCCACCACATATAACAGGAGCTCTGGTGCCTGTTGTTATTCCTGGCCAGCCATTTGGCCTCGTTTCATAACAGCGGCTGGAGTAACAAGGCTATTTTTGAGCCATGCGGAACGATGCCCATCACCCTGCGGCACATGGGCACGGGGTTCCAAATGTTCAATGTTATCAAGTGTGTGGGCGGGACGTGGTGAGTCATGGCTCTGTCAGAATTACAGCTCAGCGAGATAGAGGGGTCAATCAATCCAAACAACCAATTTGAGTCGATGCTATCAATTCTCAATAAGTTCGTACAGACATGGGATGACATCTGGACCCAAAAGCCTTTACTTGCGGCTCAGGGCCTATAAAATCTGACATTTTATACTGCATCACGACATGACATTTGCGTCTGTTGCTCGGTCTCTCCGGGTGTCTGGTCTTGGGAATATTGACCAGACGTAGACCGGCGGAAAAACTTCACCTGGAGCCTCTGAGGGCTCTTCACGTCATCGTGCGTGATGACAACTCCCAACTCCACAGAACATCGATCTATTGGGTCAACATTGTTGACGGCGAAATGGGCCAGTGGAGCCCAGGTATACCGTTGACCTCTTACAACAGCCCATCAATCGCCCGATAGCCTGAGCAGGTCTAAGCGGTTAGCTGTATAATATGTTTGGCTCTCAGTGACGTGACGACGAAGGCGCTCAGGGACGATTTCCAGAACCACTAGTTAATATTAGGGCTAAAAACAACTTGACTCTTTATCGTTTCGGGCAAGACACGTGTAGCCTTGTATGACGGCATGTCTCTGTGCCTGAGCTCACCGAGTTCATGGCCGGTGCGTTGGGGCGTGCGGATAAGCAGACTGGAACTTGTGGACCGGATTAAAGGGAGGAATTACCGCAGGCCATGGTGATTGGAGACCAGACGAGGAGACGTGGGTATGCATGGTGAAATACCCGTGAGGAATTCCGACAGGCTGACACAACCTCGGGTACCATAATGTTGGCCAGCGTTTTTACCCTTGCGGATTGTTGTACCTCTAATATCTCCAAGTCACTTTCTTACATTGCTTCTCCGTGGGGAGGCTGGTGGTATTTACGGCTTCCGCTTCGACTTCGCTTGTATCGAACCGTGTCGACATTCTCTCCAGAGATATGCGTACGCCAGTCTGACGAGTGTCGACGAAGACCGCCGGATAAAGCTTTCCGGAAGGGTGGCGAAAAGCATGCTCTACAGCCACGTTCAGCTGGGATTAGATCACAGTCCAGAGAAGGGGGGGGGGGGGGGGGAGGGGTCATGAAGCCGTACCTAGTAGCTGTCTACCTTTGGTGAAGTAAATGGTTCCTTTCTTCGCATCCACTCCGCATCCAACAATGTCCCCTTCACCATACCATCTCGGTTCGAAAAATCCAGTTGACTGCACACCACTTGCGCGCACCTCCCCGTTGTGAGCATAGTAGCCACAGGAGATAGCCGGGTGTCCAAAGCTGAGCTTGCTACTCAGAGGAGCGATATCACTGCAAAGACCGATGCCGAGCGTTCTTTTGGTTCGTTAGAGCGCGACTAAAGGAATAGGCATGTGATATAACTTACTGGCATCCGTCTCTGTAGCCTTTCTGCACCTTGATTTCGAAGAAAAAGTCCTGACCGTCTGGGATACAATGGTTCGCTCGAGCCACAGCTACTCCATACGGGTCACACGTTAAATCAATCACGTCTCCCACGCTAGCTAAACCATTATAGGTTAATAATGCGCTTGCGATCAAAGTTCAGAGAGGCGTTACAAAGCACAAACTCACCAAATACCTCTACAATCTTCGGGTCTCTCACTCGCGGGGTCTGCTCTGCCCCTATACATGGAGAGAGTGCGGCATGCCGGTCGTCCAGGTGCCATTGAGTAGGTGTCTTCATCTCACCTGATGACTCGTGGGTGGCGCCAGCGCCTAGAATTTGTTCTTCCATCTCCTTACGGCCGTAAGACCTGGCGCATTGCAACGGCGTCCACCCGTCGTCATCTGCCACGGTTGCTTTGACGCCAGGCGTGGTGAGCAGCGTTGTGAGGCGCCCTCCATTGTTAGACATGATGGCTGCGTGGATTGCTAGCTCACACAACTTCAAATACTCCTCGGATGGAAGTCTTTTGCAAGCTTCATGTATCTCGTTGAAAATGTCATCACTTGGCATCCGACAGGCCAAATATAACGGACTATGCCCACGGACGCCGTCCAGTGGAAAACCAAGTCTTGTATGCTGACAAAGAAATTTCGCCAATTCCTCGTCGGCGAACAGGATTGCATAGTCCAGCGGCGTCCTCCCTTCGTGATCTCGCTTATCCGGATCGGCTCCTTTCTCGACCAGACACTTGGCTATGTCGTGATTGCCCATAATGGCGGCAATCGTCAGGGGCGTCTGGCCGATGGTATTAGCAGTACTTGTCGCGACTTTTGGGTTTTCTAGAAGATGGGAGACCATGTCCATGCTATCTGCCGTCACAGCAAGGCAAAGCAGCGTTCCCAAGCCAGAGTCGAATATATTCGGATCGGGGCGTTTACGATGGACGGCCTTGAAAATGTCCAACTCGCCATACAGTGCGGCAATGTGTACGGCACGTCCGATATCTGCCCCGAGACGAAGCAATGCCTCGACGGCACCGAGCCGCTCTAGGGCTACCGCGAGTACCAGTGGTGTAATACCACAAAGCCCGCGGTTGGGTGTTTCGTCCACTTTGGCTACGTTCATATTTGCACCCTTCTTCACAAGCAGATTGATGCAGGCGACGTGGCCAGACTGAGCGGCAAGGTGCAGCGCCGTGGTCTCTCTAGTATTGCTGATATTAGGGTCGGCATCTTGATCTAGCAAAGCACGGAGTGCCTTGATGTGTCCGGCTTCCGCAGCCAGCAGAAGAGGTGTAGAGCCCGTGACATCCCTCGCGTTAGGGTCCGCTCCAAAGTCGAGGAGCAACTTGAGGAGCTCGTCGTCCGGTTCGTCGCTTTCTTGTTGGAGCTCATCCTTCGCTTTATCATCGCTCTTTTTTTCTTCATCAATGCTCTTGGCGTGGATGAAAATATCGTCTTCCTCGTCGATGATGTCCTCATTGCTTTCCTCAGCCTCTGAAAGGATGAGCGCAGACAGGTGGAGGGGAGTCATTCCCGCATACTTTTCATCACTACCAGGACATTTGGCATTCAGATTAATATCGGCTTTTCGCTTAGACAAGAGCTCTCGGACGAGCTTGGCGGTACCATGTCCGCTCTCATACGCCACCTTGCATGCTCTCAGGAGAGGTGTCAGACCGTCCATATCGATCTGGTCGACGTCAAGCGTTGGTGCACCGTCGAGAAGCGCGGTTACGATATCCAGATTCTTGGTCTCTACGGCCATTGATATAGGCAGCCTACACCCCTTATTTCCAAGATTGGGATCAGCCCCGACCGCTAAAAGCGCCTCTACCATATCGGCGTTTTTAATCACCACCGCGAGGTGTAGGGCAGCGTTACCGGTGGTGCTGTCAATCCAGTTGAGAACAGAGACGTCACACGATGCCAAAATCTTTGTGACGCCTTTCCAGCTGTTCAGCACCGCTACATGCAGGAGATTACCAGTCGGCACTGCATACTTTGAATCCAGAAGGAGCTTAACAATCGGCTCGTGCTTGCCCACTGCCGCGAGCATTATGGCTGTGTTTTCAACTGCCGTGGCAGTCTCTTTCTTGAGTGATGTGTAGTCTAGGAGCCACTCAACGACGTGGAGGTAGCCCGCCTCTGCGGCTATATGAAGAAGCGTCCTCCCTGTTCCGTTGGCCGTTGTGCCACCGAGAGCCGAGTCATCTTTGAACAACTGTATGATGGCAAGGCTCCCGGAAGACGCAGCAATGTGAAGGGGACTCAATCCCTTCTTGTTGAAGGAGTCAATCGGGACGTGTTTTGAATCCATAAGCTTCTGAAATAGTCGCACATTGCCGTGCCGTGCGGCGAGATGGAGCGCGGTATTTCCGTCTACATCCAGCAATGGTCCGCCGGCAAAGGAGACTTCGTTATACCACTGAAGGATGTATAAGGCACAATCGTTGGTTCCCTCCTGACATGCGGTGGCGAATGCTGGGGAAAGAACCTCGCTGGTGTCATAGAAGCGCGAGCTCCGTAGCTCCGTCACGGTGCTAAGATGACCGTTCTTCGCAGCTAGTTCGACTGGCGATGGGATGCGAGCAACTTCGCCGGGCAACGGCTGAACTTCAACCATCGACTGCTCCCCTTTTTTCTCTGCCACAGTGCCAACTTCAAGGAGCGTCTTGACCACTGACGGGAACCCTCCTTCGGCAGCATAATAGAGCGGCGTGTATTTGCGGTCATTCAGAATGCCTGGCCTGGCCTTCATATTAAGTAGTGTTTCCACAGTCTTCAAATGTCCATTCGATGCTGCTAGATGTAACGGGGTATTCGAATCCCTTGTCTGGTTGTTTGTTAGAAGCACTTGCGAGACTCGTGTTTCATCAGCCAGTGTTGCCGGGTCATTTGCGGCAATAATCATACATTTCACAATTTCCTCGAACCCCCCTTCTGCCGCGTAGTAAAGAGCACCATAGCCCTGCTCATCGACGCTCGCCAGGGGAACTTTGGCGGTAATCAGGAGCTGAACAATCGCCCGTTGACCAATCCTTGCTGCCAGGTGCAGTGCAGTGAGATTCGTATGGGCTGCCACAGCGTTAAGATCAGCCCCTTCAGATTGGAGCTTCGCAAAGCTGTCAACATGTCCACAACGGGCTGCTTGCAGAAGGGGTGTGTAGACGCCGTCCGGTCCGCCTCTGGAGTTTATGTATGTACGATGGGTTTTGAGTAGCTCAGTCACAGTTGCGTTGTCGCCGAGCCAGGAAGCTCGGAGCAGCGCGCCCTCGGCTCTGACGCCGAGTTCGGCAAGAAGTCGAATCACATTCGCATGACCCTTAGTTGCGGCGTATTCCATGGCCTTTGTTAGCTCCGTATCTTTATTCGATGGATGTACGTTAGCGACAAGTTCGGAGAGAACCTCGGTCAATCCCAAGTACGCGGCTACTTGAATCGGTGTCCTTGGAAATGACTCTTCTTCGGCGGATCGCGTCGCATAGTGGGAATATATGTCCAGCCATACGGTGAATTGCTCCTCATTTTGGAGAAGTGATAGCACCACCGGCTTTGCGGTGGCTTTGTCCCTGACTTCATGATAATGTTGCGGCCAGTGAAGAGCCGCGTATTCTGCCAGTCTATGCTGTTGCCGGAACTCTGTGCTGTGCTTCCACGATGGGCCGATTTGCCTGAGGTATATGAGACACGTGGTGAGTATATCAAGATGCACATCGCCCTTGCCTAGAGCGTTGAAGTCTGCGAGAACGAGGTCTTGGTAGATGCGGTGCCGCATTTCCACCAACTCGCCCGAGATCCGGATGATGGGACTAAGCTCATTCTCCAGGTCCCTTCGAAAGTCCCATAGGATGGACTTTTGTAGGTGTTGCAATGTGAGCGTCTCTGTGCTCGTGCGAGCAAGAGCGGCCCAGACCGCGAGCTCCTGCACTGTCATGGGCCGTAACGAACCAATAAGCCAGGGCAAGACCGCTGCGCCCAAGCGTCCATCATGTAAGAAGTCATATTTAGTCGCTAGCGTTCTGAAGAAGACTGTAAAGTCCGCGGGAAGAGTGGCGACCATGGCAATCGCCTCACCGGTGGTGGACAGGGTTTCGCCCTTTTCGAGAAAGTCCATCTTCTGGCATAATTCAAAGAGTGTAGCGGATCCCGTCCACAGCCTTTTAACTTGTTGGGATTCAAGATCAAGGGTCTTCCAAGCCGGGTTAACCGCAGCCATGCTGCTTATCCTTGTCTTAGCAAGCCGCTCGAGCTCTCCAGCTGCTAGTATTCGTTCCTGCAAGTAAACTACTAGCGGATACCCGGGCGTCCCATATTGCACATACGAGGCGGAGCCAACAGTAAGAACCTTGAATTCGCCTTTAGATGAAGTTCTCATCTCGCCGAGATCGCGGAGCAGTTCGTCCCGCGCCTCGGCGGTATAGTGGTCAAGGGCGTCGATGATACAAAATGTCGCTTTTCCGGCGCAGCCTGATAGTATCGAACGCAGCAGGCCCCTGAACGTTTCTTTGGTGAAGATGCCCTCTTTTCTGAGCCATGAGCAATGGGGTGTGGTAGAACGATATGAAGATGGCGATAGGAGTGCTTGTTGGCAGAAAGAATGCCAGAGACTCACCGTCGAGTTTCTCGGGTTGGATCTATGGCATGCTGAATAGGAAAGGACAAGGTTACCACCTTCTCGCAGGTGGCTTGTGACTTGGGTAGCAAAAAGCGATGTCCCGGTCCCAGGTAGTCCCACAATGTGAAGCACCGGGTTCTCTGTGCCCGAAGCCCAGTCATTATACTCTTCCCATGTGGCCCATCTTGCGAAATCACTCGGGATCGAGCGGTGTGCTGGCGTTCCAAGCTGGCGCATTCTTGGACTCAGCTGCGCCAGAGACGTCGAGAAACTGCGCGTAACTTCTTGTGGGTCTGACAAGAGTAGTTAGAATTATACAAATTTCTTGAAAGGCATCATGAGGCACTTGCCTTTGCTGTCGAGACTGAGATGGGTACTGATGACGCGCCGGATTGTGTCAGCCCATGAGACTTGGTCGCTGACCTTCCACATCTCTTTTGGGTCGCAATCCAAGCAGTGTATCTGATCACAGCTGTAGATTGGACTCGGGATGTTCTCTCGGGTGACCTATTTTGTTGGTAATCTGTCAAGCTAGCGACTCGGAGAGCCAGAAGCGTAACATACCACGGCATAACGACTCTCACGAGACAAAAAGTTTATCATGTGATGAGTTCCAGAAATTCCTTCAAATTCAGTCTCGAGTTGAGACGCATAGTCGGGCAAATAACGTATAAATGAGGCGAAATCCAACACAGACTCTGTCTGACCAAGCATCCTCACCATCAGGCGCTCCCAGGACAGATGCGTCGGCACTGTGTGAGGCGTCTCAAAGAAAAGCTATTTTACAGGTTACATTCAGAGTTCTCAGCAGATTATACAAAGCGGAAGTCTCACTACAGCAGCCGTTGCGCGTGCTACCCATTCAAAGCAGGGTTCTGAATTCGCCAGCAGGAGAGCCTGGGAGTACACTGTCAGAATCTTCAGCGAGAGCTCTGATGGCAGCTTCATACCTGTTTTACAACGAATCCTCCAATATCATGGCAGAGAAATACCACTTTTGGAGCGGGAATATTCGGTCCCTGAAACACCAACATTAGAAAGGATTACCTCCTAGAAGAGAGTAAAATCGCACAACGTGCTTCACTCGAGCACCACAGCCCTAGTTAGGTGTCCACGGTTCGTACCTGTTGCTTCGGACCGTCGTCATAGTTTGTCACATCTGTTGCCCTTTGTCCTTCCAACTTGGCCTTATTCCTATCCAGAGATTGCAATAGATTCAGGGCCGAGTTTCTCATGTCAGGCACGGTTATCATGACGTCTTCCGCAGAGGATTCAACAGTGTTGAAGACGATTCGGTGGGCATCCGAGAAATGCAGTGATAGATAGGAATGCATATATCCTAGGCCACCATCCGGAAGAGCGCTGTCTCCGGCGATGCCCGTTACCAGCACGAGACTTTGCGTCCAGTAAATTAGCTGAATCCGCCTAGGCAAGTCTCACAGTGGTTCACTCACAATGTCAAAGGAACAGCCATGGTTGCCCTCGTTGCAGCTTTTGCGGGGAGCTTTGCGGGGAGCTGAGAGGGCGGTTGTCAGTAGGTGGCGTAACGAAGCTGCGTGCGAGACGACGGTGATTGAAGGCAGGATGATGTAACGGAGCGCGCAGTCCGGTTCTCTCAAAGGCACAGTGTGGGCGCTTTATGTCGCCGTCAACATTCAACAAAGGGCTCGGGACAATATCGGCTACACAACAACAAAGAAGACATCGCGAGGCCCGAGGTAGGACACGGAGCGAGGAATGCCTCAAGCCTCCAACTCACACTGACTTTTTGTATTTATAGAAACTCCCCATCTCCAACATTTTCTTGCCGGTGAGGAGGATAAGAGTGCTTGAGCTTCCTGTCCTCCGCCCTCTTGAATGGTGATTCCGCCACTGGCTTTGGCCCTTGCAGGCCCCGTGGCCACCGCTCAGCTCGACGTTCCCCATGTGTATGATCTTCCAGATATCAACCACTGGGTCGATGGAAAATTTGTCCTCTGGTACGATGTGTAGACAAGTGCAGAGTGGGAGTCTTCGCCATGGGCGTCGCGGAACGCAAGTCTCATTCCTGCTTTGATGAATCTCTCTGCAGTATCAAATGTAACGAACCGCAAGTCAAGGATGAGAAGCGTAGCCTCCGGGCTCCCAGAGTACAAAAAGCCGTGATGAAGCAGGGCGATTGTTGCTTTCGAGGTTCAACTTGACTTTTATGGAATGAGATTTTTTGCTCGGCCTGCGTCTTGCTCCGCGGCTGTCTACCAATCTGACTTTGAGAAACAGGATAGAGATAAACGACGTCGTCGGTAGTCATGGTAGAACAGACTAATATCAGCTACTTATGGAGTATAGCTCAAGTCGTGTACCTTTATCGGTCGCAGGTGGCCATTGCTCGGGTTTAATAACAAAATAAGTCGATGGGCGTACGTATATAGTGATTTCTCATTCGACTCCCTCCTTGCAGATGAACTAGAAGGGAAAACAGCAATTCACTCGACAATACGGCAGGTAATACATCAAATTATTTCAAATTTGCCAAAGTCATGTTGAGCAGATTGTGACTGTTTCCAGCAAATTTGGCAAAAGTCCTCTGCATTTCGCTTCGGCGAACCAGGACCACAGCAGAGCTAGCTAGAGGGACTAACCGTCTTCATTTTGCAGTTTTATGATACCATGTCTAAATTGTAGGTTAGCAGTAGTGAGATGGGCAGCAGCTAACCAGCCCTCCGCTCACCCGGACCGGAATCTCGCCGGGGTCGAACCGTCTTCACGCACATACTGAACTGGTTACGCTAGAAGGATGTCAGGAACATATCCAAGGTCAACGTCTATGATGCCGAGATCCCCTGTCACACAAATGGAGCCATTGCTGAATGTCTTGAGGGGTTCGGCATTGAAATATGGAACTGGATACGAGTCGATCTACCGAGGGAGCTAATTGCCGAGGCATGTTGTCAAGTCGGAGAGATATCCCTGCATAGATCGGGGAATCAAGTAGTCCTCCGAGGGTGCCAAGGACCCAGGCAATTTTCTGTGGGGTTATGATGCGATGGTCAACATGTTTGAAAAATCTAGGGGCCGTTACGTGGTGAAAAGAAGCCAAAACTCACCAGGCCAGAGCACATGGTCAACATGTTTATGGAAAAGCTTTCTAAGAGACGACTGCTGCAAAACCTAGACCTAGACCTGGAAACTTAGAAGGCTCTTCGCGAGTTATATTAATGTTCAGAGTGAGTACTACACCCACGCAATCCTGTGTGGCGAAGATGCGGACACGTCTAGTAACCTTGTCTCGAATCTTGGTGCGAAGCGAAACCCCTGTTCACATTTTACTTTTTTTGGCGCAGAATGCAGGGTTTACAAAACCGTATATTCAAGGTTACAATTAATAAATCAAGCGGTACAAAACGGTGTACTGGAGAGGGGGTAGTTATGCATAACTAAGCTATAGTAAAGGCGTCGGATGAACGCCACGGGTCTCACCATCAGGCAGATGAATATTCTGGTCTGAACAAATGCAATAGCCATTATAACCATATGTAGAATTATGAAGGAAGAAAAGAAGAAACGAAGAGCTGTTACCTTGAGCTACTGTTGTCCGTTGTTTCGCAAGCCGACCTGGCCACTACCCAAGATGGACTTTGAAACGCAACCCGCAACACACCAGAGACCCGCAACCGATTAGCCCATACTCCAGATGTCAGCGATGTACAAAAGATTCCCGACAATCTCCTGACCCACATAGTTCCGACGGCCCATAATGACGTTGGAGAGTGAATTGGGCTACTGAGACTACATTCGAAACAACTCCGAAGTGCCCAAGTGCCGATCTCTGACTGCCGCGGCAGGCACGACACCGAATGGCGAACATGATCTTCTGAAACGGAAAATCAAGTCACATGTAGGGCCTGGATCGGCGATGCATTCTCAAACGACCGCTCTATCCTGGTTCAAACTCACAAAACCCTAATTCATTGTCCTTGCTGCGTCTCAAGCGTTGCTACATAAGCATACCCTAAGCTAATCAGTGCATAAAGAAAAGGAGTGACCGCCAATAATAAAACCGTCCTGTTGGAGACTCGCAATCCCGCAAGTTTGTCAAGTTTCCCTCTTATCAGAACCCTGCGTCGAGGCTGGCCCTTGATGCGAGGTACATAGTTTGCCATACCAGCAGTTAGTCTCGAGCTCTTTGAAACGCCCAATCGCAATGAAGCCGCCAACCCTCATCGCCATCCTCGCCGTGGCCGTCCACGCACACGCCCTCACCGCCAGCCAGCCAGCTCCCCAAGATCAACTCTCGCAAGAAAGCGAAGCGCTGTCCAAACGCGCGCGCCAGCCCTCCGCGCAAGCCATCGACGCCGCCGCCCGCTCCTGGCAAAGAGACACGGGCGTCGTGTCGCAGTTCCTGTCCACGGCCGAGTCCATGAGCCCCCAACAGCTCCAGCAGCAGGCGCGCGGCGCTCTGGCCGCCGAAAACGACGAGCTCAACCACAAGGCGGTGCTGGACCAAATGTTCCTCACGGGGGCGCGCAGGAACCGAGACGCGACCGTCCGGCAGGCCAACAATGTCCTCGACACGCAGGGCACGTTTCAGTTCGTCGTGGACGGGCTGCAGACGCTGTCGAGGCGCGGCGCGCGCATGTCGCCCGGCCAGGTGAGCGCCATGATTCGGGCGATTAACAACGACCGGTGCCCGCAGGTGTTGCCGGCGATTGATGCGTACATGGCTGCGGCGGCGGGCGCCGGGCAGACGGGGAATGCGCTCAGGGCGATACGGCCGAGTAACTGCTGATGAATTGCGGTGGACCTGTTTTGCTTAAAGATTCATGTATTGTCTTGTTTAGGAGCGGACTGGGAATATGACCGTGTGGGTTCGTGTATACCAAGTCGACTTGAAGGATGGTGGTGGAGTTTGTATGCAAAAAGAAGTCAACTTTGTAGTTTCTAGAAAATGCGAAAACCCTACTTGACATTATCAAATAGATATTAGATCACCTCCCAGTGCTTATAGGTCAATTTCACCCACCAGCAATCACATACGACCACAGCCGCCAGTAGAACTCACGATCCCGTCTGATCTCGTACGATAACCTGGCGAGCGCTAGATTAGTAGTTGGGTCGGTGACGACCAGCGAATACCTGGTGTTGTATGTTTTTTTTTTTTTGCGTACTGTAGTGATTCGTGTTTGCTCCGGTATATCCCGGTTCTCAAGTTTAGGTACGACTAATAATTAATCACATCAAGTTTATACAATCAGCCCTACCTCTCTACACCATCTATTTTTAGGCAGGAGTCAATCTAGCTCTGCTTCATGCCAA